AAATAACAACATCCCGCCCGCCCGGCGACCTATGGACGGGAGGACACGTTTCATAACCGGCGCGTGCAGGAGGCTGCCGGTCAATGGTTCTCATCATTGATGTTTCTTTTTTTTTCTTTTTTTAATATATTTTATCGATTTTTTTACAGAGAGGAAGGGAGAGGGAGAGAGAGTTAGAAACATCGATGAGAGAGAAATATCCATCAGCCGCCTCCTGCACACCCCCGACTGGGGATGTGCCCGCAACCAAGGTACATGCCCTTGACCCAAATCGAACCTGGGACCCTTCAGCCTGCAGGCCGACGCTCTAGCCACTGAGCAACACCGGCCAGGGCTCTTTTCTTTTTTAAAAATATTTTTTTAGCCCTAGCCGGTGTGGCTCAATGGATAGAGCTTCGGCCTGTGGACTGGAGGGTCCTGGGTTCGATTTCGGTCAGGGCATGTGCTGGGGTTGTGGGCTCGATCCCCAGTCGGGGGTGTGCAGGAGGTGGCTGATGGATGTTTCTCATCATGAATGTTTCTCTCTCTCTCTCTCTCTCTCTTCCTTCCTCTCTGAAATCAATAAAAAATATACAGTATATGTATTTTATTGATTTCAGAGGGAGAGAGAAACATTGATGAGAGTCATCGTGAGCTGCCTCCTGCACACCCCACACTGGGGATCGAGCCCACAACCCGGGCCTGTGCCCTGACCAGGAATCAAACCCCGACCTCCTGGTTCATAGGTCAACGCTCAACCACTGAGCCATGCTGGCCGGGCTATCATTGATGTTTCTATCTCTTTCCCTTACTCTCTGAAATCAATAAAAAATATATATATTTTAAATAGAACAAAACAAAAGAAACAAAAACACAAAAAGATGAGCGTTCTGAAGGTCAAAGAGACGGGACCACCTGAGAGAGTGGATTGGATGTGGAGGGTGGAGGCTGGAGGGGAGAGAAAACAGGACCCCCCGCCTCCGGCTCAGCCCCCAGGTGGTGAGCGCCGCTGCGGTGGGTGCTGCTGCTGAGGCGCGGGTAGGTGTGAGGCCAAGGGGAGCTCAGGTCAGGTCCGGAGGACGTCCGGCTGGAGGCACCGGTGTGGGCCATCAGCCTACCTTGGCTGTAAGGTCACCGAGGGTGTGTGGACAAAGCACAGAACAAGGAGGGGGCCCTGGGCCACCCCAATGTGTGTCACCCGGGAGATGAGCCAGAAGAGGCGCTGGGCAGGGGTCCCCAACGAGCTGAAGGAAAAAATGTAAAAATAAAATGCTCCTGAAGCATCGCTTTTTATCTAGGTGCCTCCATGTGGCATCCAGGGACCAGTGAGTGCGGCCGGAGGTGGGGCCCTGCAGACGGAGCTGGGAGCAGACTGGTGGGTCTTCTGTTCTATTCGTTAGGAACACTCAGAGCATAGGGCCCCCCGGTCGTGCATTGTTTGTGGGGAGCGTCTGCTGTGTCCCCCTCGCTCTGTGCCTTCTCCCCCAGTCAGGCTCAGTGCCGCCCCAGTGGCCACCCGAGGACCTCGCTCCCAGAGACCCAGCGGGTGGCCGGAGCTCTGGCTGGGCGCCTGGACTCCCGTGGGGCTGGCTTTCCAGAATTTGTATTCACTGGTTGTAGAGAGAGGAAGGGAGAGAGACACGTCAGTTTGTTCCACTTCTTTATGCGTTCATTGCCTCCTCCGCGTGTGCCCTGACCGAGATCCAACCCGCAGCCTTGGCCGATGGGGATGACTAACCCACAGAGCTCCCGGCCAGGGCCTCGGCAGCGTTGCACAGGAGCTAACAGGTCTTTGTTTGCTTAAGCCGCTCTGATTCCTGTCACCTCCCACGAAAGGGCCGGGTTAATAATAAGGTGAGGGCAGGGTGAACTGTCACCCTCTGGTTCAGCGCCTGGCGCCTGTGCGAGGCCTGTGGTGTGGGACCCGAGGCGGGTGCACACCCTGCAGTGTCCCCTGGGAGGAAGGGAGAGGGAGAGACATGGAGGAGAAAGAGCCTCGCTGGTGGCCTCCTGCACAGCCCCTGCTGGGGATGGAGCCCAAAACCTGGGCCTGAGCTCTGACGGGAGGGTTCGCTGTGAAGCACAGGCCCAGCTGTCAGGACGCAGGGTCAGCAGTGAGGGCCGCGGGTGACCACCCGGGGCAGTCCCGACCCTCCCGCCCTGCACAGCTGGCCAGCTCCCTGTGGGCACACAGACCGCAGGAGACTGGCACGGTGACGCTGTGCGGAGATGGCTGAGCGTCCCTGAAGCCGTTCCTTTTGTGTCTGAAAATTCCAGTAGTACCGCTGTTCTTATGAAAAGCCACGGCATTTCGAAGGAAGAAACAACGCCTGGCCGGTGCGGCTCAGTGGGGGAGCACCGTCCTATGCCGCCAAAGGCCCCTGGTTTGCTCCCCGGTCAGGGCACATGCCCAGGGTTGTGGGCCCAGCCAAGGGAGAGGGAGAGAGATCGGGGGGCCGGGGGTGAGCATATCAGTCTTCGCAAACAGCTGAAGTTTTGCTCAAGATTCCCAGAGGCATAAACAAGAATTGGGTCTTCAGCTTTGTTTCTGACCAAACTGGTTCTGGCTGCTGAGCAGTCCCAGGGTTTTCTCTGTGTTTAACACCCGTGCTGGGCGGGAAGCAGAAACACGAACCCCAGCAACCAAAACTGTGAGGACGAAATCTTCTTAGTAACAAAACCCCACAAGGATGTGTAAGTAAGACCCTGAAATCTGAGCTGTAAGATCGCTTTTCAGAAAGCCAATCTCACTCTGATGAAAAGCAAACTTGTACCGACATGACAAGCCCCACCAGTCAGGCACCCGCCGGAGGTCGGATGAGGGCACATTCGGGTCCTTTTCATCCTGGCCAGCGCCTGCAGAAGGCTGGGTCGGACCTGGCTGGCACCTGGGCACCGGGCAGACCACATATGTAGCCCTGGCAATTCACCGTTACGTAGGAACAGTTACAACTTAAAAAAAATGTTTTTAATGTGTTTTTATTGACTTTAGAGAGAGGAAGGGTGAGGGAGAGAGAGAAACATCACTTGGTTGTCTCCCATACACACCCAACCGGGGATGGAACCCGTCACCTGGGTATGTGCCCTGACTGGGAATTGAACCTGCGACCTTTCAGTGTATGGGGCGATGCTCCGACCCCCTGAGCCACATGGGCCAGGGTGGAACAGTTACAGCTTTTAAAGACCAAGATGTGCAAATCTTTAAAATTTTCTTTGGCACTTCTTGATAAAAGCACTATGTAAGTTTCAAAAAATCTTTGACACAATCATTTATTTCTGTCTTTTCTAATTATCCTTTTACCATAGAAACATACAGAAAATGACACAAAACAAACATATAACTCACTGAATTATATGGTGGATACCCCTATACCCCCAACCGGGTCAAGGATGGGAACTGGCAGATGCCCCCCCAGGGCTCCCCAGGCGTCCCTCCCTCCCTCCCTCCCTCCCTCCCTGTGGAACGAACCCTGGCTTCACAGAAATGACTGCTTGTGAGTCTGTGCGGCACTCGACTCGGCCCCTTTTCCTAATCATGGTCTCTCTTGTCTCTGACTCACAGCCCCTCCTGCTCTCTGTACAGGCCGTGTGAAACCCCAGCCGATGTCCTAGTGCAGCGGTTCTCAACCTGTGGGCCGCGACCCCTTTGGGGGTGGAATGACCCTTTCACAGGGGTCGCCTAAGACCATCGGAAAACACATATATAATTACATATTGTTTTTGTGATTAATCACTGTGCTTTCATTATGTTCAATTTGTCACAATGAAAACCCATCCTGCATATCAGATATTTACATTACGATTCATAACAGTAGCAACATTACAGTTATGAAGTAGCAACGAAAATAATTTTATGGTTGGGGTCACCACAACATGAGGAGCTGTATGAAAGGGTCGTGGCACTAGGAAGGTTGGGAACCACTGTCCTAGTGTGTCCTGAGTCGGAGCTGGCGGTCCGGGTGCTCACGGTGCCGCCTAGCGCTCTCCTCCGCCCTCGTGTGCCCTGCAGGTAGCAGCCGATCCAGAGGCCAGATGATCTAACCACGACCCTTCAGTTCGGGGGCCGACGCTCTAACCACTGAGCGCCGGCCAGGGCGGCTGGGGCGGTTTTAGAAGTTGCCTCCACACTCCTGCGTGGTTTCCCCGTGATGGAGTTCATGCGGGAAAGGCAGGCTCAGTGCCAGGATCATTAACTCGGAAGGGGACCGATTAGGGTGTTGTACTTACTTGTATAGCACGTGTGTGTGTGTCCTTGGCCTTCATGCAGACTGACCACTCCCACCAGCCCACGCTGGGTCCTGGCCTGGAGCCCACCTCTGTCTGTTCCCTGGACATCCCAGGGGTCTCCAGCAGGTTGCCTTGCCTCCACCCTGCCCCCTGCAGGCCGTTCTCGGTGCAGAAGCCCAGCTCCCATCACAGCCTGTGGCTCCCAGTGCCTACCCTCCACCTCCTACACCCCACCCCCTACAGGACCCTGCCTCCGGCGGCTCCCTGTGCCTCTGCTCCCCACTTTTCCTGCAGGTGGGCTTGTGGGTCCCTCCCCTCCTCCTCGTGTCAGCCCAAATGCCATTCAACATCCAACTTTCCCGGCCACACCTGCAGGTGCAATTCTGCTTCCTGTCCCCTCCCAGCTCCCCCCCCCCCACACACACGCTGGCCCTTCTCATTCCTCTTTATCTGTTATATTCCCACCTAGCACTTGCCTCCACGTGGCTTGTCTCCCGTAAGAACTCGAGCTCTGAAGGGGTTTTTCCTCCCCATTTGCTCACCATCCTGCACCCAGAGCAGGCAGCCAGGACGTACTCGTACTCGCCGCGGGAGCAGATATCCAGCATCCATCCTAGCAGCTGAGACGGCGGAACCAGGCGTGGGCTCCGCGGGGAGGCTGGGCTTGCTGAGGAGCCCGGCCCACCCCCATCCCTTCAGGAGTGACGTCAGCAGCCCAGCCCGTGTGGACACCCACTGCCTTGCTCTGATCTGCACGCGGCCCCCCCGCCAAGACACGTGAGAAGACTCTGCACTGCTTGGCCAAGGTTTATTAGCGCCTCCTCAGGAGTCCAGTCCCAGCACCGTGTCCAGGCTGCAGCGAGAGCAATGGGAGCGCAGTCGCCCAATCAAGCTGGCTCTCCAGGAAGTTTTACACCTCGGACCCATGACTGTGCAGGTCACCACGGGAGTCAGGACACCAGCTGCTCCTGAGTGGGCGTGGGAGGGTCTCTCCCCTCGTGCGGTCTCACTGCTCCCACGGGAAGTGACCGATGTCCCGGGGCGCATGGCCGCTCAGCCCTCCGCCTGCTTAGCTCCTTCTCGCGCCAGCCTGTCGGCCTCCTCGTTGCCTGCAAACCCCGAGTGACCAGGAACGTGCATCTGTGAAACAGAATTTCCCTTTTACTCCTGCATCCTCCTGGCAGCTCAACCTCTGGGAGCTGAGGAGGCGGCGCCCTGCCCGCCCCTCCCCTGCGGGCCACACCGCAGGGCTGATGCCTGCTGCACGTCCTGGACACACGGACACAGCTCCATCCTGACGCTCCCAGCCTGGACCTGCCTGTGCGTACTGCTCTTTCGCACGTACGACGGGTGTGTAAGCTTTCCAGGCAGAGCACGTGTGTGCACCAGGCGTGTGCACCAGGGTGTGTGCGCCAGGGCGGGTGCCCCGACACTCACAGCCCTGAACCCGTGGGAAGGCTGCCGTGTGTGTGAACACGTTCACGCGCTACAGCGAGCTTCTCGCAGCGCCCCCGCCCCCTCAGGTCCTGGCTGGCCCGCAGCGCAGGGGAGGGAGACGGGTGCTGTCCAACTTGCTCCCGGTTGTTTGAAAAAGTAATTTTAACAAAACTCATCTCTCATTAAAAAAATACTTCCCTTTTGGAAAGATAGTCTTCTTACTAAGGTCTCATCACACAGTCTAACACAATTATTTTTTAAAATTATTAAAATTATTTATTACTTTTTTAATATATTTTTATTGATTTCAGAGAGGAAGGAAGAGGGAGAAAGAGACAGAAACATCAATGATGAGAGAGAATCATTGATTGGCTGCCGCCTGCACGCCCTCACTGGGGATGGAGCCCACAACCCGGGCCTGTGCCCTGACCGGGAATCGTACCGGGGACCCTTCAGTCCGCAGGCTGGCGCTCTATCCACCAATCCAAACCGGCCAGAGCTTAACAAAATTATTATGAAGACACTCACCCACTGGATGTCCACGCCCTGGACAAGCCTGTCCAGCTCCATGAAGTCCTCCTTGTTGGTCACCGCCTTCCCGGCACTCGTCCTCCATCCGTTCTCCTTCCAGCCCTGGACCCAGCTGGTGATGCCTGGAAGACACGCCTCCAGACTAGGAGCCGCGGACGGCGCCTCTTCCTCGCCCACCTGTATTCTGAGCAGCACCCTGGCCTTCCTCTCCTCCCGGCCCGCGGGCCTGAAGCCCTCCCTCTCCTCCGATTCTAACCGCACTTGGCCTACAGCTCTCAGCCCGGGACGTCACCTCCTCCAGGAAGCACCCCAACCTCAGCATTGCTCCCTGTGCTCCCACAGTTTCCCAAGAAGCCGCCAGCACGCCATCCTGTCACTCACATGGGGAGCCTCCAGGGCCCCGAGCAGGGCCTCATCTGCGTCCTGCCCTGGCTCTAGTCCCGGCAAAGAGACCCTGTGGCAAACCCTGGAGCAGCAGACCTGGGTCCCAGACCCGCACCCTTCCCTTCAGATCTGAAAAACCTAATGCAGCCCCACTGACATGAGGGCCCCCCCGATACAGTGCCCCCCCAAAAGGGAAGGAAATACCTATTTCCCGGCAAATTTACTAGAAAAACCCAGAAGGAATACGTGAAAGCTCACCGTTGATGGTGAACATGCTGTCTGTGTACAGAACCAGCTTCGTGATGTTCTGAGCCCTGGCTTGCTCTATGGCTTTGCAGGCTGCCTTGAAGAGAGAGGTTGCTCGTCACCACGGAGCCTGCTCAGCTCCCGACAGACAGACGCTCAGGGACTTCAGACGCAGCGACCCTTTCCTGTGCGGGCTGTGACGCTGACATTCCCACGTGAGATAATGCTATGTACACAATGCCGCTTACACACCTATTGGACATGTCCCATCATTTTTCTAGAAAAGCCCTATCCTTCATCACTGTCACCAGCCCACACAGCTCCTCTGGACTCTGACTGTCTCACACACAGAGAGCAGAAAGTGCGTTACGTTCATAGTCGATGCTACAGAACACGCCCGTACATTGTTACGGAAAACCATCTGGTAACTTACATGAATTTCTGCTCTTTGGTTTGTCTGTCGCCCAGGAAGTCTAATGCCCACATTTCTGGTTTCAAAATAGTAGAGAAAAAATAAAGTTATAAGCACAGATGTTCTAATTTGACCTACGAGAGGCTCGCACGAAAGCAGCCTTTAGGAATCAGGCCGACCCGCGGACGGTTCAGAACGTGGCCTGGCGAGGCCTGCAGCCCAGCCCCCGCTGCGCGGTTCACTCACAAAGGGTGGCCGGGCCCCCAGTACACGCCGATGCCCGCGCGCGCCCGCCGGCGCCCATTGCAGCTGCAGCAGCCGTCCGTGTAGACGACGACGTACTCGCCTGGAGATGGAAGCTCAGTGAGTGCCCGCCTCCTGGGAAACCGAAACTCACCCACAGGTTTACTACGGGGGAGCTCGAGTTTCCACGTAAAATGCCCTTTCGGCTAAGAATGAGGACGTTACACATCAGTCCAACTTGCCCCATTAAAAAGGGGGAAGAGTGTTTATACATACAGTTTCATTATACATTAAAATAAGAAATCTGCCCTGACCGGTGTGGCTCAGTGGATAGAGCATCGGCCTGGGGACTCAAGGGTCCCAGGTTAGATTCCGGTCAAGGGCAGGTGCCCAGGTTGCAGGCTTGATCCCCAGTGTGGGGCCTGCAGGAGGCAGCTGATCAAGGATTCTCTCTCATCATTGATGTTTCCATCTCTCTCTCCCTTCCTCTCCGAAACCAACACAAACATATTAAACAAAAACAAACAGCAAGACACACCCATGTAAGAGAAGGTGTCCTTGTCCACCGGAGGGGCCGCCTCCCCGGCCTGCTTCACATGCTTTGCCTGCGGCTCCCCGTTCTCCTCCCCTGCGGCCAGGGGCTCCCGGCATCGCTTGCTGGCTCTCACTTGTGATTCTTGCACGAGCTTATCTTCCTGCCCTGAAAGACGGGGTCGGCTCAGAAGCCAGAAACAACGAACCCGACACACAGTGACTAAGAATCCGCAAGTTCAGCGAGTCCTCCAGTGTCGCTAACACCGAGTCAGACCTAAGTGCCCTCTGTATGTGGCCCCGTAAAGAGGAAAGGACTCTGATGTCCTGTGAAATTATTCTAAACCCACGACAAGCTGACGAGGTCCACGTGAAGGTGAGAGCAAAGCTTCTGTTAAACATGAACCTGGTTTGGATGGATCGGCAGAGACACCACGGGTTATGAACCCGCTGGGATCACAGAGTGAAAATCTCAGGGGCTCTTCCCCAGAAAAAACAAAGTCCAAAATTTTGTATGGAAACTAGAGAACTAGGCTGTGACACCTGGGAGGGGAGAGGCCGGGCACAGTTACAGGGGCACCTGGGAGGGGAGAGGCCGGGCACAGTTACAGGGGCACCTGGGAGGGGAGAGGCCGGGCACAGGCGAAGGTGACAGTGATGTGCGTGGGGACTACCTGTCGATCCAGGGCTCCCCGAGTTCCTGACAAAGGCCCAGGCTTCCTCTTCGGTGGCAAACTTCTTGAACCGGGCGGCGGGGAAGCGGTCCACCTGCGCTCTGCACTCGTTCCTGGAACAGAGGCGACGTCACTGCCCCCCGCCCGGCATCACTGTGCCCCTAGGACCTAGGGCTGCTTCCCGGGGCGGGCAGCGGGCAGCCACGCCTGTCTGCAGGGTCACCGAGCGCACACAGCACGTGCCTCCCCGACGCCCAGCACCGCTCAGCCCTGGGGTCTCCGACAACCAGCCCGGTAACCACTTCCGGGGCGGCGGCGCTCTCACCAGGTCAGGAAGACCCCGGCCTTGCGGCCCCTCCTCACGGCGTAGAACATGCCGAGCCCGCGGCTGCCGCAGCGCACGGCGGCCAGAGCGACTCTGTGCACCGCGCCCAGGAGCCGGGTCATCTCTCGCTCCCAGGCCCGGGCCAGACGCCTGGCCCTCGGCTCCGCGCCGCCATCGCGCGGAACAAACTCCCGGCGGCGGCGCGGGGAGATGACGTCAACCGAGTGGCAGGCTCGGCGGGCGGGGCCTGGAGCCGAGCGCTCCTCTGATTCGTCGATTTCCGGGATGTCACTGAGAAAGTGAGGTCGGGGGGCAGGTCCCGGAGCGGGGCGGAGCCTGGATCTTGGGCGGTGAGGGTGGGGCCACACGGAAGGCGGAGCCTAAGGAGGGGCGCGGTCTAGGGCGATTGGTTTGCGTGGGACGTGGGCGGGGCCTGGGAATAGTGGGTGGGGCCTGGCGCCCTCCAGGCTGGGAAGCCGGTGGGGTTGTAAATGAGAGGGGGTACCCAAGGGGCCCAGCGAAGGTGCTGCGTGACAGCTGCCCCCCGCCCCCCAGCGGGATCGCGGGGTCACACCTACTTAGGAGCCGCTTCTCCAAGTGAATTGCTGGCTGCGCGCCTTTATCACAGAGCCACTTGTGTTTAAAACTTAAAACAGGGGAACGGGGCGGTGAGAATTTCCCGTGAAATATGTTCATTAAAGTGCAGATTTTAGTCTGCACATTACATGTTTTATTAAATTTGAATAATGTCTTTGAAATGGACATTTATGCTTTTTAACTGCTAATTATTGGTTCTAAAATAATGAATTACAACGGATCATGGTAGGGGTATAGCTAAGAAAACTCGTTGGTGGGAGAAGGGTGTGCTCTGGGTGTTCAATGCGCTGGGAGGGTCCCGCCCCCCGCCCCCCGCCCCCGCCCCATCTTCCATCCGCACTCCCAAGTTTCCGCTAGTCATCTGGGTGGCCTGACCAGTCTGCCCTTCAGCCTGAGCAGCGGTAGAAAATGCCCCCCTGGTAGCCCATGGGACGTGGGGCAATTACTGAGCTAAGGGCATTTTAACTGCAATCTTCCAGGGGCAGTGTTCTTTTGTTACTTATTTAACCGATTTAAGTGATGACCCTACAGGTGGTCAGCAATGGTGCCCCTACAGGGACCTGTTAACAAGAACGATGCCAGCACAAGTGTGACGCCTGATGCCGCCGCACCCAGGCTTGTCAAGTAACTCTGCAGACCTCAGTCCCCACCTGCGAGCGGGGCTGAGCTCCTGGGTGCAAGGACACCTGCACTGTCCTGGAGGCCTAAGGAGAACTCGCTGTGGACACACCGGAGCGCCAAGCAGTAGCCGTGCGGAAGCGTGTGTGGGAGTCGCCTCCCGGCTGCTCTCCTGTCCTCCGGTCCCTGAGCTGGGAACCCACACGCACCGACTGCAGGTCCCAGCGGAACTTACCAGCCGTGCGAATTTGGTGAGTGTTACTGGCGCACCGGACCCCGGAGCCTTTTCCCGGACTCTCTAGGCTCCCGCCCCGTCTCAGTGTTTCTTCCGGTCCTTTAGCTCCGCCTCTTCCTTTTCGCCGCCGAGATTTGACGAGCTCTCGCGAGACCCAGGCCTCTTCTCAGGCCGGCGCTCACCAAGTAAGTGTGGGGCCTCCCGCGCGCGCGAGCTTTTCTACCGATTTCGAGGGGGACACGCTTTGGAGGCAGCTCTGGAGCGGCGGGCCCTCCTCGCCGGGTGGGGATACGGCGGATAACGCGGCGTGGGCCCCCCGATGGCGCGCGCGGGGACCCGGGGACCCGCTCCGCCTCGAGCGCTCTCTGTTTCCAACAGGAGCCATGTTCAGTTCCAGCGCCAAGATCGTGAAGCCCAATGGCGAGAAGCCAGACGAGTTCGAGTCCGGCATCTCCCAGGTGAGACGCGGAGCGCGCCGGCGCGGGCCCGGCGGGCGGTGGGGACGGAGACCCGGCGGCGGGTCGCTGAGGTCGCCCCCTCTCCCTCCCTAGGCCTTGCTGGAGCTGGAGATGAACTCGGACCTCAAGGCCCAGCTGCGGGAGCTGAACATCACTGCGGCCAAGGTAAGGCCACGCGGCGTGCGTTTCGCCGGTGTCGGCCCCGGCGCAGGGGCGGGAGCCCGGGGTCCCCGGAGGGCTGTACCCCAGGGCGGTGTGCGGCCGGCGGCCTGTCCCACCCCGTCTGTCCCCGCACGAGGGGACGTGCGCGGCTGATCCTTGCGGGGGTGGGTGTGCGGTTCCCCCCTTGGCTCAGGTTTACCCCTGGGCGCCCTACCCGACGGCAGCGTTTCCGCTTTTACTCGCAAAGCCGTTGTCCTCGGCGCGCGTGCTCCGCGTGCCGGCGATGGGGGGCTTTCGGACGCGTGTCTCGCATAGTTTCGAGCCTGCCGAGCAGAGCCAGCCCGTGGTTGTTGGGAGCAAGTGAAACGGAGTTGCCCGCCGTGGGCTGTTAGCTGCGCCGCGCTCATAGGCTGGCGGTCCCTGCACGTGTGAGGCAGGACTGACAGCGGAGGGCTGGCGGCCATGGGACGGCTGCAGAGTGGCCGGAGAAGGGCCTCGGGAGTCAGGACTCCGGTCTGACAGTGCACGCCGCACCGTGGAGGCTCTCAACTTACACTGTGGATTTGACTGTCTTTTTTTTTTTAATTTAAATTCTTTGTTGTTTAAAGTATTGCACATGTCTCCTTTTCCCCCATTGACCTCTCCCCGGCCGCTCCCGCCCCCCAGCACATGCCCTCGCCCCCCTAGTGTCTGTGTCCATGGTCACGCTCATGTGCATGCACAAGTCCTTTGGTGGATCTCTTACCCCCTTCCCCGCCTTCCCTCTGAGGTTGGAGGGTCTGTTGGGTGCTTCTAAGTCTCTGGGTCTGTTGTGTTCACGTTTGTCATTATATTCCACAAACGGGTGGGATCATGTGATGTTTATCCGACTGGCCTATTTCGCTTCGCGTAACCTCTCCGTGTCCACCCGTGCTGTTGCGAATGGTGAGAGCTCCTTTTTTCAGCAGCGTAGTAATCCATTGTGTGGACGGACCACAGTTTTTAACCCACTCATCTGCTGATGGCACTTGGGCTGATTCCGGATTTGTCTTTTTTAGGAAATTGAAGTTGGTGGCGGTCGGAAAGCTATTATCATCTTCGTCCCAGTTCCTCAACTCAAGTCTTTCCAGAAAATCCAGGTCCGGCTGGTACGCGAGCTGGAGAAGAAGTTCAGTGGGAAGCACGTGGTCTTCATCGCTCAGGTACCTGTGTGCCCTGGAAGGTTCTGTGACGTGAGCCCCGCTAAGATCATGTGTGTTTGGGCTGTGTGGGCACTTGGAGTGATTCAAGTAACCCTGTTGTGAATGTAGAGAAACCGGTGTAGATGGTAGAGAGCCGGGGAAGCTGTGCTTGTGGCGGGTTAAAGGGTGAAGTACACTTGCTGTTAATGTTCAAATGGCGGAAACATAGTTGCTTAAACGAAGGCACCTGAGCCAGGATTTCTCTGCCTGAGAATCACTTGCCTGAAGCTCCCCCTGTGCAGGTGAGGCAGGTGGTGGGGGGGGACGCTGAGGACCGGCTGTAGGAAAGGGGACGGGAGGGTTTCTCAGGAACTTGCTGGTCTGGGTGGCTTGGCTTTCTCAGAGTTTGGGTTCTGTCCTGTGTCTGTTTTTAAAGCAGTTTGACAGTTTCTCTGACAACGTAAGGTCCTGTTGCTGCCGCTGCATAACTTTTTCCCTTGCAGAGGAGGATTCTGCCCAAGCCAACCCGGAAAAGCCGAACAAAGAATAAGCAGAAGCGTCCCAGGAGGTGAGTCTGGTGTCGGCCTCGCGGGGCTGTTGCAGGAAGAGCTGGGGAGGCTTCTGAAGTCACGTCACCTGGGCTTGGTAGTGAGTGACTGGTTTCCTCGGCAACGGGAGGTGCAGAGTTTGTGGTTTGGAGGAATGACAGGTGCGGTGTGGTTGGGAACATGGTCACGGCTGTCACACAAGATGGAGGTGCTCTTGGGCAAAGGAGGGACAGGGAAGGGACCCTTCGTTCAGGGCGCACCCCACAGCGGGGGTGGCCCGGCCCTGTCGCCTTTGCTTTCTATTGTTGCTGTGAATTAAGGTAAATTCGCCTTTTCTGGTGACATGCTCATGAGCTTGATTGCCTGGGTTCTCTGTGTGACTCAGGACAGTGGACGCGCCTTTGGTCGAAGTCTCTGGTTTCACAGGCTGGAGGGTTGGCCCGCAGCCTGCTCTGCCAGGTGGGCCTTCAGTGTGTAGTTTGTATTATTCCATCCCTGCTCACAGGGTGGGGAGGAAAGGTTTGTTTAATTGTTAAAGTAAGTAGTTAAAAAAATAAAAAGTAAGCACAAAAGTCAAGGCGGGGAGACGGGCACGGCCTGGAGAGCTGGCCCATGGCGGCTGTCACAGTGCAGGGGCCTGGGGGTGGAGAGGCCCCGCCTTGTGTCTGGAGGTGGGACCCCAGGGCGTGGGCTGATGCACTTCCTGCCCCACATCGGGTGGCTGCGGCTGGGAAGGCCGGTGTGGGTTTTCTGGGGCTTGAATTACAGAGTTCGGTCCTTTGAGCTTGTCCTTGGGCAGCTTTAGTGTCGTAAGAATCCAGGAATTTGCATGCTCTCCCTCCTGGGAGCCTGCCGCCTCCCCTCTCAGGTGTGCGTTTCCTAGGGCCCTAGACCTGCTGCCGGGGTGACGGGCAACGGCAGCTCGTCCCGGGCTCCCCCCGAAACTGTCTCTAAGGCCCCTTTTCTCTGGCTTTTCTGAGCCAAAGCCGCCCCGCCGGGGCTCCCCTGTTGCTGCTCCTCAGCCTTCCTCGCTCCCTGCCCAGCGTCATCCGTACACGCTCAGGAAAAACAAAAGTCCAGCGATGGTTCCTGTCCTAGCTGGTTTGCAAGAGGTCAGATGGAGGAGATTATCGAGAGCATTTAGTTTGTTAATCACGGCACCTCTGGTGTGTGGTCTCAGCTCTGAGCACAAAAACAGACCCTTGGCTTTGCGCCCAGCTGAGGACCTGGCTCCCGGCCTGCCGCCTTCACTCTCCTCTTCGCAGACCTGGTCCCACGGCCTCGGGTGGCGACTGTCCTGACAGACCCAGTTCTCGGGCGCCGCGGGGGCCCCCTGCCCAGCCGGCCCCCCTGCTTTCAGATGTGCTTCCTGCTTCAGGGGCCCTCTTCCTCCTACAGGTTCAGTGTGAGGGTTACATGTTGTTTGGCTTTAACCCGTAGCAAAGCCTCAAACATTTCTTGCTGCCGCAGCTCAGTCTCCGGTTGGTGGTTGTCACAGTCGTGTTGCCGTGGCCGCCCTTTGAAGAGAAGTTAGACAGCGTTGGAGTCTGAGATGCCTTTTTAAAAACATTGGTTGATTTTAGAGAGCGAGGCCTTTGTTGCGCTTATTCGTGCATTCAGTGGTTGATTCGCATGTGCCGTGGCCGCGTTGGAACCCCATGGCGTATGGGGGCGATGCTCTAGCCCTGAGCTACCGGCACCGGCCAGGGTTTGATTCCACCTGATTTGACTGAAAGGGAATAATGACGGATTTCCATGTTTGAGCGCCTGCCCGGCCCCGTGAGAACCATGTGCTCTAAGGGGCAGCGGTGGTTAGTGAAGCCGACTGTCTTGTCTGTCCCTGAAGGTGATGGAGGCCGTGGAGGGTGCTCTGTGGCCGTGTCACAGTGAGACCCTGGCAGTCCCTGGGAGCCACTGGAAAGCCTTCCCTGCGTGTGGGGCCTCCAGGCGGGCACTGGGTTGGTGCCGTACGCACCGGCTGATCCGGGGACAGGGCTCTAGACACCCCCAGGGCACAGGAGCTCTGTCAGCCGGAGGAGAAATGTCCGTCCCGCCACCTGCACCGCCTGGCGGTGCCGCCAAGGGTGGGAGTCATTGACCTTCTGCTGTCAGCAGCCCATGGGCTGCGAAGGTGACGCGATGTCAGGGGCAGCAGGGGTCCATGGCGGTATGGGGGGGGTGACGGGTTGGAAGTTGGGGGGCCTCAGGGGCTGCTGTCCTAGAGCTGGTAGAAGTCTCTGGGGGTGGGATGTGGCCTCGAGTGATTGTTGAGAACGAGGGTTAGGGTGGTGAGAGGCCGCGGGAGCTCCTGCAGGGCCTTTGGTGGGTAAACGTGATCACGTGGGCGCGACAGCTGAGGAGGCCTACGATGGGTGTGAGTCCTCGCCCCTCCCCGGGAGCTTCACTTGCCGAGGCTTGGTGACTCGTTTACCAGGTGGCATCTCACACCGACCTTGCAAATGCATTAGTAGGTGGTTGTCACCCTCCTGGTTTGGCTGCGGCCCTGGTCGCTGTATTCGGTGTCGGGAGCGTGTTTGGAAACGGGTGCAGGTGTGGTTTGGGGGAACCTGACACCTGCCCTTCAGGCTGTGACGTGCAGAGGTGCCCTCGGCCTAGCGGAGCGCCGCCGCCCCTGGACCCTCACTGCCCCTGTCCTTTAGCCGCACGCTGACCGCTGTGCACGACGCCATCCTGGAGGACCTGGTCTTCCCAAGCGAGATCGTGGGCAAGAGGATCCGCGTGAAGCTGGACGGCAGCCGGCTCATCAAGGTGCATCTGGACAAAGCGCAGCAGAACAATGTCGAGCACAAGGTGCGGCCGCTGGGGGCAGCAGCGTGAGGCTCTCGCGGCACCAGGACGGGGCGGGAGCTCGGCCGGCCCTGCCCTGGGCGGCATTGTGGGCCGGGTCTGCCTCGTTCTAACGCGGGGCTGTTTGGGGTGTCAGGAAACGGGAAGTGACTGCTTCCAGGGTTCGGCTTCAGTGAGGTGGTGCATGGGGGACAAGGGGACAAGGGGGGCAGTAGGAGAGTTTGTTATTTTTGACGAGTTTTTTTTTCTTGAAGGTTGAAACTTTTTCCGGTGTCTATAAGAAGCTCACGGGCAAGGACGTTAATTTTGAATTTCCAGAGTTCCAGCTGTAAAGGAAAATGACTAAATAAAATGCATTCTTATGTTGTTTAGAGGCGGTGTCGCTCCCTCCTCGTGTTTCAGGCCCGGCGGGGAGGCAGGGAGGCGACCAGCAGTGCTGACCGCGCACAGTCAGGGGTGGCCTCCCCTCCCCTCCCCTCCCCCAGGGCCCCGCGTGTCCATGTGGGCTTCACGTTGGGTCTCACATGGTCTTGGAAAGGTCAAGTGTGAGGGTGAGATTGGGTTTTCATCTAAGGTGTGAACAGGCCAGTGAGCTACTGGGTTCCTTGGTTTTCTCCAGGCCTTCGGGGCAGGTGGAGGTGAAGCAGGGGCCTGGTCCTGTTTGCCAGGGGCTTCTAGGATCTAAGCCAAGGGCCAAGGGCCAGTGAGGCCAGGCTCCTCGGGATGAGCATCCGCTGAACGTTAGGGCTTCGCCTCAGCTGCCAGCCGCCATCGTCAACGCCTGGCATGACACACAGGCTGGGACTCTAGTCCGCACTGGGGAGGGAGCGGGCCTCGTGTTGCTCTGCGCTTGCAGGAGCTGGAGGAAGGAAGCCCCCCTCCTGTTGGAGGGGAGCCATGGGGAATGTCCTAAGGGGCAGTGTCCCAGGGATCGGACTACAGGCCGAATCTCCAGTGAAATTCCATCCAGAGTCCGGCCTGCGCTGTCCAGACGTCTCCCTTATCCCTGAGGAATGTAAACAGTGACCGGGAGGCTCAGATTCTCCTCCCACTGGAAGTGGCCTCGGAGGGTCAGGTCACGGGGGAAAGGCCTTCACCAATGGCCAGGACTGGAGAGCTAGGAATGAGCTGAGGGGAAGGAGAGAGGAAGACGCCTGGAAGGAGAAGCACCATGATTCCTGATGACTGGTGTTCAGTTGTGAGGCACAGTAAACGCATCACAGCCTAGACAGTCCCAGCTGCAAACAGGCAGCCTAAGAACCAGGTGGTCATGGTTCCATTCCCAGGCAGGGCACATCCCCAGTAGGAGGCAGCTGATCAATTACTCTCATTGATGTTTCTATCTCCCTCTGAAATCAATAAAAATATTTTTAAAGAATTTTGCATCTGTAGATGGAATCTCAGTGGGAGGGTGGGTGGTGGGAGGTGAGCAGCCCATGGACACACACAATAGGGTGGTGAGTGGGGGGCGGGGCGGGCTGGACGGGGTCAGTGGGGAAAGGGACATGTAATACCTTCAACAATAAAGATCTTTAAGGTGTTTGCATCTCTATCCTGTGGGTTACGGTCCATAGTTGGGTTTGCACTGCCTTCGTGTGGCTTTAGTTTCGGGGTAACACCAGCCTCCTGGGTGGATGGCTAAGTGCTCTCCCATGTGCTGGGAGAGGAAGCAGAGTTGGTGTTAATTTTCCTTAAGCGTTCGGTGGGATTCTGAAACCACCTGCCTGTCGCTTCGGGGAGTCCTGAATCCAGCTCCCTGGGGGGGGGGGGGGGGGGGGGGGGCGTGACGCCTCCCCCCACGTCGGGCCTGTGGTGGCTCTGTTTCCTCTGCGTTGTCCCGTGTGCGGGTGCTGCCGACGGTTTAATAAAGAGCCCCCTCTCCCGGGTCCTGTGAGGTGCGTGGACCTTGTCAGGCTTCACGTCTGTGATTTGTTATGACTTCCCTTTCCAGTCGAATAAACAGCTTTGAAGCCAGCTTTCCGTGACCATCTCCTATGCGTCTTTCTTAAAGAAGCCTCACCCCCTTGTGTAAGGGGAGCCGCCCAGCCCCCCACAACACGCGTCGGGGGCATGGGTTGCCTTCTCGTGGACGCACAAGGAGTGAGCTGGGGTCACCTCGGGGTGGGTCTGGACAAGCCCTCAGGCTTTGCTGTGAAGCCCCACGTGGGACAAAGGAAACATCCACGTTAGTTTTTGTCTGAGGGACACCAGGTGGCCGTGGCCACCCGCCTGTGCTTCCCTGACTTCCAAAAGGCGTTTTATTTTGTTATTATTGTTAGGTATGTTTGCATGGATTTCAGGGGAGAGACGGAGTGAGGGATAGAAACCAATGACGAGAGAATCATGGATCCGCTGCCTCCTGCACGTCCCCCCTGGGATCCAGCCCGCAGCCCTGGCTGTGCCTGACCTGGTTGGTGACTTGATGCCGGGCACTCACACTTCCCAAAAGGAAAGAACGAGAAGAGCAGATGCTGGGCGTCGGGGAGAGTTGGCTCGGCCTCTGCCAGCCGCCCCGGAGCCTGACTCCGTCCGCCTCTCTGCGTTCCCACACTGCTCCGTCCCGCAGGTCAGGGATGTTTCAAACAGGAAGCTGTCTGCAGATAACACGGGGGCCCGGCCTGGGTTGCTGGGCGGTGGGACAGCCCCGGCCGCTCCCCTCCGGTGGGGCTGCACCGCCCGCCCGCCCGCCTGCCCACAGTGTCCTGCTGGGTCCCCGGCGGTCAGGACGCCCCTTCGCCTCGCCTGCGCCTCAGGTAGGGCGGCCCTGGTCCGGGACTGGCCACCTTGGGGAGCAGGCGGAGGGTGAGCCGCAGGGGGGAGGCTGAGCTGGAAGGCGGGTTCCAGTCAGCGCAGGAGCTGGTGGAGGGACGTGGTCTGTGCTGAGCTCCAGGCAAAGGCGCAGCCAGGACCCCGGCCATGGTGCTTACCAGGTGGCGGAGTCATGACGGCCTGGGTGCAGGCGAGGGGACCGCGTGAAGGGATTGTCCCTGCAGCCAGCACAGGCTCAGGGCAGCTCGACCCCCTGCGGTGGGGTCTCGTGGACGCCCAGTCACCTGCACTCAATGGCCAGTGGCTCAGGAACGGGGACCCTGGATGTGGGGCAAGCAGGGCACCTTCCACAGCGGGCCACCTGGTCTCCCAAACAGAGTGAGACGAGAGCCGGGGGCCCTTCCGGCCGGATGCCTGGTGTGGCGCTGGCCGTGGCGCTGGCTGAGGTGCCAGCGGGTCGGGGGCTCTGGATGGACACGTGCTGTGGCCGCCTCACGTGCATGACGACTCCCCGTGCAGTGGGGAGCGCTCTGCGGACCACAGGCCGGGCAGGGCCCGACTTGCCCAGCTGTTCCATTCATTTACAATTTTGAAAAGTTTCCCTAAGAAGAGAACAGGCAGGATGTGTGTCAGTCTAAGAAAATAATAGGGAACGGCCTCTGCTTGGCCTGTGATTTTGGTAAAAAGATAAGAAAAATGTGCCATTGGGTGGCGCCTGTCCTGGCTGCAGCCCCTGGGGGCCTGGTCCCGGGGGGGGGGGGGGGGCGGGGTGGCAGGGGCCGGGGGTGGCGGGCCTGTGCTCCCCGGGCTGGTCCCGGGCGTGTTCTCCACGCTGTGGAAGGTGACAAAGGGCGGGCCCTGCGCAGGCGTTTGCTAAGTGGACATTGTACGTTTGGCAAATTCAGCCTTTTCTTGTCACTGTGGGTGTCACCTTGTCCTGTGCTCCCTGGGAATTCCAGTGGAATCTCTCTCCCTCTGGAGAGCCGCCTCCTTTGCTGATAGAGGGTCCGAGCCTTCTGGGCCCTGGGAGATGAGGTTCTTACAGGGGCCTCGGGGCTGCGGCTTCCTTGTTGATCGAAGGAAATCCCTCTTCCTGGAGGGCAGGAGGGAGCCTGGAGGGTGAGGATGAGGGTACGGGTGGCGATCTCGGGGGCCGGGGACAGGGCCTCCCCCGCGCCCCCCACCTCTGCCAGCAGGACCTAGGGGCTGACCAGGATCAGGGAGGCCTGGGGTGGCCACGGATGCATAAGTGGCAGCCGGGTCAGAGTCCCACGTGGGGGGGAGGGTCGGCAGGTGCTCCCCGAGTGACACAGGGACAGCTGTGTCCTGTCCCTTCAACTCCCTGTCCCTCCCCGTAGTCAGGAGCTTGGGCTGCCAGAGCCACACGCTGGGCAGCCCAGGGGCGTGTGGGGCAGAGGGCCAGTCCCCGGACTCCACACGGTTACCTATCTTACGACACTCAAACCGAGCACAGCCACACAGCCTCCTGTACGGACACGTAGCCGAGAAGTGCAGCTGTTTACGAACCAGCCCGACAGCAGCGAGCTCACGCACTGTCGGAGAGCCGTGCCTGTGCCAGGGGACCCGGTGGGGCGGGCAGGAACGGCAGCGCGAGGCAGAGCTGGCGTGTGAGGCGGGCGCGGGCCTCAAGGCCTCGTGGACTATGACACGCCTTCGCGTGTGTGAAGTGTCCGCCGCAAGGAACTAGAAGAGAGCCTGGCTGGCGTGGCTCCGTGGTTGAGTGTCGTCCCATGAACCAGGAGGTCACGGTTCGATTCCCCGTCAGGGCACAGGCCCAGGTTGCAGGCGCGATCCCCAGTGTGGGCCGCGCAGGAGGCAGCCCAGCAATGTTTCTCTCTCATCAATGTTTCTCCCTCTCTCTCCCCCCTCCCTTCCTCTCTCTAAAAAAATGAATAAAAACGTGTTTTTTTAAAAAAAGAACTAGAAGGGAACGTTGGGTAACACCTCAGGACGGTCACAAGCGAGAGAGAGACCAAAGCCACGCGGGCCTCCCCCAGCAGCGCCGCGCCGCGCCCTTGGCCCGCAGGGTGGCCTGCACACTGTCTTCTCTGTCCTGCTTTCGGAATTCCCGGCACTGTTTCCCCTGCTTCCTCCAGGAGCCAGTGCCGCCCACACTCAGGATGGGGGGGCAGCTGGCACTCATCAGCCTGGCCTTGCTGTCGCTGGTCCTGCCTGCTGACTCTCAGCAGACGGCGGACGACGCCTGCTCTGTGCAGATCCTGGTCCCTGGCCTCAAAGGTAAGGCTCCCTTCCCAGGGGCTCCCCCCCCCCCCGCCCCCATGGGGCTCCTGTGAGCTGTGCCAGCTCAGGTCTGACCTCGGTGGGCCTCAGTTTCCCCCTCTGAAAAAGCAAGGGTGGAAAACACAATGCCCACGGTCTGTTGGGCCAGGAACTCGGTGATGGGGAAGTCATTTCTGTGCAGCTGGGCGTCTGCAGGATGTGAAAGCCGCTGACCTTTGTCCCAGGCTCTGCACTCAATGTGCGAGGCCCCGCCGGTCGCACAGCTCCGCAGCCTGAATCTCATGCTTCCTGGGAGCTCTTCTTTCTTCTCTTAGAAACACAAACGCTCTTGCTCCTGTCGCTTTGTCTGCGGCCTCCTTCCTGACAGAGCAAGCCCTACGGACCCGCGGGGTGGGCGCCAACCGGGGGAAAGCCACCGTTTCTACAAAACACGCGATTCCAAACCTGTGACCCCGGCAGGAACAGCTCCATGTTCCAGGGCCCAGCGGGTCCGGCAGTGAGTCCCATGTGGCCCTGCTCCCCAGGGCTGCAGCCGGAGCCCTCGCCCAATCCCTGGGTTTACATGGCAACATTGTCTCAGTGGGTGTATATGGGACATTGTCTCAGTGGGTGTATATGGGACATTGTCTCAGTGGGTGTATATGGGACATTGTCTCAGTGGGTGTATATGGGACATTGTCTCATTGGGTGTATATGGGGACATTGTCTCAGTGGGTGTATATGGGGACATTGTCTCAGTGGGTGTATATGGGGACATTGTCTCAGTGGGTGTATATGGGGACATTGTCTCAGTAGGTCTATATGGGACATTGTCTCATTGGGTCTATATGGGGACATTGTCTCAGTAGGTCTATATGGGACATTGTCTCATTGGGTCTATATGGGGACATTGTCTCATTGGGTCTATATGGGGACATTGTCTCATTGGGTCTATATGGGACATTGTCTCATGGGGTCTATATGGGACATTGTCTCATGGGGTCTATATGGGGACATTGTCTCATTAGGTCTATATGGGACATTGTCTCATTAGGTCTATATGGGACATTGTCTCAGTAGGTCTATATGGGACATTGTCTCATTGGGTCTATATGGGGACATTGTCTCATTGGGTCTATATGGGACATTGTCTCAGTAGGTCTATATGGGACATTGTCTCATTAGGTCTATATGGGACATTGTCTCATTAGGTCTATATGGGACATTGTCTCATTGGGTCTATATGGGGACATTGTCTCAGTGGGTCTATATGGGGACATTGTCTCATTAGGTCTATATGGGACATTGTCTCAGTAGGTCTATATGGGATAGTGTCTCATTGGGTCTATATGGGGACATTGTCTCATTAGGTCTATATGGGACATTGTCTCACTGTGTCTATATGGAGACATTGTCTCATTAGGTCTATATGGGGACATTGTCTCATTGGGTCTATGTGGGACATTGTCTCACTGTGTCTATATGGGGACATTGTCTCATTGAGTCTATATGGGACATTGTCTCAGTGGGTGTATATGGGACATTGTCTCATTGGGTCTATATGGGACATTGTCTCATTAGGTCTATATGGGACATTGTCTCACTGTGTTTATATGGGGACATTGTCTCATTAGGTCTATGTGGAACATTGTCTCATTAGGTCTATATGGGACATTGTCTCATTGGGTCTATATGGGGACATTGTCTCAGTGGGTCTACTCTCACATCCTGTCAGTACCATGGGCTCGAAGAGGCGTCGTGGGCTCCCCGGGGGGACGGGGGGGGGGGGCCCGGGCGGTCGTGGGCTCACCGACATCTTTGTTCGCTGCAGAAGAGGTGTCCTGAGATCTGGGAACGCCCACGGCCCTCCCTGCCTGTTCCATGCATCCAAGTGTCTCACCATCTGCCTTAGCAGCTGTCCTGCGCCTGCCGGCTGGGCCCAGAACTGCCAGGGCAGCCGAGACGGACACTCTTTGCTCATGGATGTTTGTGTGGTTTGCAGGAGGCACTTCCTTTATTTCATTGGGAGGAGAGAGCAGTTTGTGGATGATGCGGGGAGCGAGCCGGTTGGAGGAAATGTGCGCCTCTGCTGCCAGAGAAGCAGCTCCTCACGGAGAACTCCAGTGCAGCAGCCCCGATCGATGCCTGGCAGAGGGGGACGCGGAAGGGCTGCCTGCTCCCCGGGGCAGGGCGGAGTGCATGGGAGTTTTGAGCAGAGAGGTTTATGGAAATGCTGGCTGGGGTATCACCCCTGGGGCTTGGCTCTCTGCTGCCCCTGAGAGAAGCAGATGGTGAACATTTCAAACCCTGAGGCTCAGCACGGAGCAGAGCTGGGCACCAGCCTTTGTTCTCAAGAAGCACATCCAGCCCTGGCTGGTGTGCCTCAGTGGATAGAGCGTCAGCCTGAGGACCAAAGGGTCCCAGGTTCGATTCTGGTCAAGGGCACATGCCCAGGGTTGTAGGCTCGGTCCCCAGTAGGGGGTGTGCAGGAGGCAGCCAATCCATGATTCTCTCTCATCATTGATGTTTCTATCTCTCTCTCCCTCTCCCTTCCTCTCTGAAATCAATAACAATATACTTAAAAGTAAGTAAATAACTGCATGTGGCTTCTCCTGCAGGGGACGCTGGAGAGAAGGGCGACAAAGGCGCTCCCGGACGGCCTGGGAGAGTGGGCCCCACAGGAGAGAAAGGTACCTTTTCGGCCCCTCAGACTCCGCACAGGGCGGCGGGGGCGAGCTGGTGCACATGGGCGTGTGTATGGTGTGTGTGTGTGCATTTGTGAATGTACATGCTTGAATATGTTGTTTGGATTGGTGTATGTATGTATTTGTGTATACTAGAGATGTGTGTGTGTAGGCATGTGTGTATATGTGTGTGCATGCATTTATGTGTAAAGAATGTATGTATAGCATGTGAATGTGTGTAAATGAATGTGTGTGAGTGTGTGAATGAATGTGAGTATGAGCACATGAGAGTGTGTGTGTGTGAGTGCATGAGAGTGTATGAATGTGTGCGTGTGGTTGCGACTGTGTGAGTTTGTATGAGTGCATGAGAGTGAGTGTGTGAATGTGTGTGTGTGAGTGCATGAGAGTGTGTGAGTGTGTGAGTGCATGAGAGCGTGTGAATGTGTGTGTGAGTGTGTGTGAGTGCATGGGAGTGAGTGTGTGAATGTGTGTGTGTGAGTGCATGAGAGTGTGTGAGTGTGTGAGTGCATGAGAGCGTGTGAATGTGTGTGTGAGTGCATGAGAGTGAGTGTGTGAGTGTGTGAGTGCATGAGAGTGTGTGAGTGTGAGTGTGAATATGTATATGAATGTGTGTGTGAGTGCGTGTGAGTGCATGAGAGTGAGTGAGTGTGTGTGAGTGGGTGAGTGTGATGCTAACGGGAGGGACTTGGCGCCACCTGTGCATCACCGACCGATCTCGTTGCTTCCTGCAGGGGGCGTGGGCGACAAGGGGCAGAAGGGCAGCGTCGGCCGCCACGGGAAGATCGGTCCCATCGGCTCTAAAGGTACCTCCCCGCTGCTCCGCGTCCCGCCAGGCCCATGCCCGCGCCCGCTGCTCTGAGGACGATCGCAGACCGTCCGAGCCGCCGGAGGTCATGCCTGTCCCTGTGCGCTGGGCACGTGACACGTTCTATCCCCGTGTGCGCCCGGGGGTCGGAGTCACTGCTGGCCGGGCCCCGTGGCAGACGGTCTCTGGTGACGCGTCACACGTGGAGGACACAACGTGTTCACTCGTGGCTCACGTCCCGCCTCTGCCTTGCTTTTCCTTTTCAGGTGAAAAGGGGGATTCGGGCGACATGGGGCCTCCAGGCCCCAGTGGAGAACCAGGTACGGCAGGGCCCCGGCTGATCAACTTGCATAAAAACGCGATTCTGACAGCAGCTCCCGACCCGGAGCTGCAGGCGGCGGGGCACCGGCTCCCGCACCCGGACTCGCGCACGTCCTCCTGGGACTGCGGTCCGCTCTCCCCGGATCCCCCACAGTCTGCTCAGACACCCCGACCAGAACCACGTGGCCTCTCCCCACACAGCCCGCTCGGGGTGCCCCGGGCCCCCCTTCCTCTGGCCACCAAGCTTCTGAGAAAAGCTCGTCTGCGCTTTCGGGGTCCTTTCTCCATTCCCATGTCCTTGCTCCCCTCCGTGGCCCCTCCCTCACGCCACGGCTCGCGACAGTTCCCGAGTCCACCCCTGGCCAGGCGCCCCCTTCACCCCAGTCCCTCTTCACCCCAGTACTCCCCCCTGCAACCTGGTTCCACCACCACCATTGTTCTCAGACGCTCCGGCGCCTCCAGGGTCACTGCCCTGAGCCAGGCCCGTCTTCCTCTCGCCTGGGCCTCAAGGGCTGCGGAGTCTGTCCATAACATTTGTATTTTGGGACTGACTGTGGCTACTTCCTTCTTTTCTTTTTTAAAATGCATATTTCTATTGGTTTCAGAGAGAGAGGGAGAGGTAGAGAGACAGAAACATCGATGAGAGAGAAACATGGACCGGCTGCCTCCTGCACACCCCCCACTGGAGATGGAGCCCGCCACCCGGGCCTGTGCCCTGACGGGGAATCGAACTCTGACCTCCTGGTTCATAGGTCGATGCTCAACCCCTGAGCCAGGCCGGCCTTCTTTTCCGAGCCCCACCCTTGGCTCAGCTCCCTAACAGCCCGGTCCCGCAGGCGTCCCCTGTGAGTGCAGCCAGCTGAGGAAGGCCATCGGGGAGATGGACAACCAGGTCACCCAGCTGACCTCGGAGCTGAAGTTCATCAAAAACGGTAGGTGCTTCTCGGAGTCCTCTCTGTCCCCTGCCGTCCCCCTGCCCCCCTCGGCCCCCAACCGCCGGGGACCCAAGGCTCACATGGCTCCGTGGCGCGTGGGAGAGCTGCCCGCCGTCTATGCACGTGCCCGCACCGAGTGTTCCTGCACCGAGCGTGCCCGCACCGAGTGTGTTACAGAGAGCCAGTGCTCACTTTCCAGCCCTGCCCTCCCCCGCAGCTGTCGCCGGCGTGCGTGAGACGGAGGGCAAGCTCTACCTGCTGGTGAAGGAGGAGCGGGCCTACCTGGACGCCCAGCGGGCCTGCCAGGGGCGCGGGGGCGCGCTGGCCATGCCCAGGGACGAGGCCACCAATGGGCTCCTGGCCGCCTACGTGGCGCAGGCCGGCCTGGCCCGCGTCTTCATCGGCATCAGCGACCTGGACCGCGAGGGCACCTTCGTGTACGCCGACCGCTCGCCCATGCAGACCTTCCACAAGTGGCGCGGCGGCGAGCCCAACAACGCCTACGACGAGGAGGACTGCGTGGAGATGGAGGCCTCGGGCGGCTGGAACGACGTGGCCTGCCACCTCCCCATGCACTTCCTGTGCGAGTTCGACAAGGAGCACGTGTGAGGCGGCCGGGTGGGGGACCGTCTCCAGGCGGGTCCGGGCGCAGCTCGCGGGGGTGGGCTGTCTGTGCCGAGCCCCGACCGTGCCGTGTGCGGGGGGCGCAGCGTCTCCCTGTCATGTCCCAGCGCCAGGCTCGCCCTGTAGCCAGGGGTCCCCGTGCGACTGCCGCTCAGCCGGGCTCGCTCGCTCTACCCTGTAAAGTGCATCTCCCGACGTCACCGCCGGAGCCCGCCCGCGTGCGGGTCCCGTGACGCTGCTTCCGGTCCCGGGGGAGCCCCTCCCTGGCCCGTGTCTCTGTAAGTGACCAGCACGCTGCCGCCTTTGCCCAGTAGGGACGCCTGTGCTTTGCTGCGAACCCGGGTTCAGGAACGAGGAATAAACTCTGCACCAACAGCTGAGTGTGTGTTCTGACCTCACCCAGGAGCGAGGGCATCGCCCGCTGGTTTGGGGTGGGGTGGGGGGAGGCAGGGAGGAGAGAGCAACATCGATGCGAGAAAGCACACCTGCTGCTGGCCTCCCACACACGCCCGACGGGGCCAGGGATTGAACCCGCAGCCCGGTGCGTGCCCTTGGCCAGGACTCGAACCCGAGACCCTCCCATCTGCAGGCTGACGCCCTGTCCCCTGATGGACACGGGCCAGGCCAGGGCCATTCTCTGCATTTCTCCAGCGGCCGGATTCGTGGCCTGTGGCCGGGTCACGGGTTACCCAAGGCTTAGCGGCTTTGGGACAAAAATATCTGTGTCCCCTTCCCTCGTTCCGGGCCTGACTGGGCCCTCGCGTGGCGCCGGCAGGACTCAGGTCCTCTGGCTGCTGGACAGACGGACGGATGGACGCCTCACCCCTGGCCCGTGGCCTCCCCTCCCGGCAGCAGCGCAGTGAGCCTGGGCCCAGACCCCGCTTGGCCACCTCAGGGCCCCCTGGCCACACTGCCGCCCAGTGGCGGGAGGGCGACACTGCAGTGACTAAACCGCCAAGCAGCAGGCTGCATGGATGCTGGGGGGTCGGGGTGGCGTGTTCAGAAAGAGAGAGAGAGAGAGAGAGAGAGAGAGGGGGGGGGGGAGGAGGATAAGGGGGAGGGGGAGGAGGGGGAGGGGAGGAGGAGGGGGAGGAGGAGGAGGGGGAGGAGGGAGAGGGGGATAGGGAGGGAGAGGGAGGAGGGAGGTGCAGGGAGAACCAGGGCAGGCAGGGGAGGGGTCCCCCGTTCAGAGCATCCTTGGGCTCGGTCCGTGATCTCAGCCTCAGAACAGCATGTGCCCAGGGGCAGCACCCACAGGGCACACAGAGGACGCAACAGGAAAAGGACTGATGTGGGAAGATGAGCTCCAGGTATGGTCCTGCATCTGGGTCCCGATGCCCTGCTGCCCTGGGCACAGCTCTGTCGTGGTGGAGGTGAGGGCAGGTGATGGGAGGTGAGCACAGGTGATGGGAGGTGAGCACAGGTGATGGGAGGTGAGGGCAGGTGAGGGCAGGTGAGCACAGGTGATGGGAGGTGAGGGCAGGTGAGGGCAGGTGAGCACAGGTGATGGGAGGTGAGGGCAGGTAATGGGAGGTGAGAGCAGGTGAGGGCAGGTGATGGGAGGTGAGGGCAGGTGAGCACAGATGAAGGCAGGTGAAGGCAGGTGAGGGCAGGTGAGCACAGGTGATGGGAGGTGAGGGCAGGTGATGGGAGGTGAGGGCAGGTGAGCACAGATGAAGGCAGGTGAAGGCAGGTGAGGGCAGGTGAGCACAGGTGATGGGAGGTGAGGGCAGGTGATGGGAGGTGAGGGCAGGTGAGCACAGATGAAGGCAGGTGAAGGCAGGTGAAGGCAGGTGAGGGCAGGTGAGCACAGGTGATGGGAGGTGAGGGCAGGTGATGGGAGGTGAGGGCAGGTGAGCACAGATGAAGGCAGGTGAAGGCAGGTGAAGGCAGGTGAAGGCAGGTGAGGGCAGGTGATGGGAGGTGAGGGCAGGTGAGCACAGATGAAGGCAGGTGAGGGCAGGTGAGCACAGGTGACGGGAGGTGAGGGCGGCTCGGGCCGGTGGGTGCTGTGTGGCTCTCTAGCGTCTGGTCCCTGCTGCACCGGGACTCAGACATGGCTCTCCCAGCTGCCCCCTCCGTGTGGGTGCCCCCTCCGTGACTGTCTAGGACACGCACCCACCATGCTTCCTGGGGGGGAGGGTGGCAGGTGAGGGCCACCAGGTGTGACCCAATTCAGGTCAGCAGATGGGAGCCAAGGGCTGGGGCGTTTCTTTTTTTTAATTTTTTTATTTTTTATTTTATTCAGTTTTTACAGAGAAGAAGGGAGAGGGTTAGAGAGCCAGAAACGTCGATGAGAGAGATCGATCAGCTGCCTCTTGCACGCCCCCCACTGGGGATGTGCCCGCAACCAAGGTACATGCCCTTGACCGGAATCAAACCTGGGACCCTTGAGTCCGCAGGCCGACGCTCTATCCACTGAGCCAAACCTGTTCGGCTGGGGCGTTTCTTAGCTGCAGACAGGAGAATCCAAATCCAGCAGAAAGGGGCCGGCCAGCGTGGCTCAGTGGTTGAGCCTCAACCTATGAACCAGGTCAGGGTTCAATTCCCGTCAGGGCCCAGGCCCGGGTTGTGGGCTCCATCCCCAGTGCGGGGCGTGCAGGAGGCAGCCGATCCATGATCCTCTCTCATCATTGGTGTTTCTCCCTCTCTCCCTCTCCCTTCCTCTCTGAAATAAAAAATAAAAATGACAACAGCCAACGCAAACCAGCCGTCAGACACGAATGCTCTGACTGGAACCATCCATCCCTGCGTAGGTTCTACGATAGACTCGCATCTCATTGGTCACATTGCATAATAGGGTTGCACCTGATTGGTTAGTTCTTGGGACCAGAAATCCTTATGTCCAAGTACAGGCATCCGATTGTTTAGAAGTCACTTTGGAGCAAAGAGGGCAGGTAATTATTATTATATGTTTTTGTAAATCAATCAAAATTAGAGCGATTTTCTGGTCAGATTGGCCGCAGGCTTTTCGACCTTAATGTGTGCCATGAGCCGAAGGAGGAGCTGTCTCCTGGGGCAGGTGAGCCTTCCGGATGCCAGGCTCCCTCGAGGGACAGGACACCCCTGGCAGGGGCAAAGCGCAGCGGGGAGGGGCCGCCATCAGGGCCTGGTGCCCGCACCCCAGGTCATGTTTGTGACAGGGACGGGCCAGCCACGCCCTCCACAGGAGCCTCTGGCAGGGACTGCGGGGGCAGGGGGGGGCCTCTCCAGGGGGGCTGCCCCTCCCCGAGCCCTTGTGACATCAGCAGCCCAGCCAGGCCCCCAGGCTGCCAGGCCTGCATTCTCTCCTGCTGCCCCGAGTGAGCCAATGAGACCTTGGCTGGCGTCTGCAGAGCACGGAATCCGACCCTAGAGCCTGGGCTCCCGGCTGCTGGTGAGGATGCGCTGCAGGTTTATTCACTTATTACTATTTTTAACCTTTATTTTCACTGATGTCAGAGGGGAGGGGAGAGGGAGAGGGAGAGAAACATCCAAGATGACAGAGAGTCATGGACAGCTGCCTCCTGCACGCCCACACTGGGATGGAGCCCACACCCTGGGCCTGTGCCCCGACCGGGAATCGAGCCGTGACCTCCTGGTTCACTGAGCGGTGCCTTCTGGGCTGAAGTCGCCTTTAATTCACCTGGAGGGTCACTGGGCGGAGGCAGTGCCCGTCCACCCGACAGCACGCGTGTTTGAACCCTTCTGACCCGGCCAGAGCCCACACAGCCGAGCTGACAGAGCCCCCCGCCCCCCTCGCCCCCCAGGAAGCATGGTGGACTCTCCCAGGGAGGGGAAGCTGGCCCGGTCTCCGGACTTCGTCCAGCTGATCGACATGGCGTCCGAGTCCGTGGGAGGCAAGGTGAGCAGGTGCCTCTTGGGAGGAAGGGCTGGTCGGACGCCGCGAGGCCGCGTGGGGACCACCCGCTGCGAGAAACTAGTTGGAGCGGCAGGGCCCTCCCGAGGGCGCCCCCGCCCCAGGCCCGTGGAAGGGAGCGCCAGGGGCGGCCTTGCCTGACGTTTGACAAAGGCCATCCTGCACCTTGAAGAGAACGCACTGTCCCATGGGGTGCGGGCAGCCCAGGGCAGGGGCCTCCGTGTGGGAGCCCTGGAGGCCTGGCCGCCACACCCTGCAGGGAGCCAGGTCCCCGTGGCCAAGGCAGGAAGGCCAGCGATGGGCGGACTCGCTGAGGTCTCAGGAGCATGCAGGGCGCTTTCTTAGTGCAAGTTAAAGCACCCCCGGCCCCCCACCCACACCCCCTCAAAATGCCCTGCTTTGCCTGCCGGCCTGGCTCAGTGGTTGAGCATCGACCTATGAACCAGGAGGTCACGGTTCGATTCCCGGTCAGGGCACAGGCCCGGCTTTCTTTCTGCCTTTTTAAAAAATATTTTTATTGATTTCAGAGAGAAAGGGAGAGGGAGAGAGAGAGAAACATCCATGATGAGAGGGAATCATTGACGGCTGCCTCCTGCACGCCCCTCTGGGGATTGCGCCTGCAACCCGGGCCTGTGCCCCGACCGGGAATCCAACCAGGGACCTCTGGGTTCATGGGTCGATGCTCAACCCCTGAGCCGCGCCGGCCGGGCAGCTGCCTATTTTGTGGGAAGTTAGTGCCCTGGTGTCCAGATGGTGAAGGGGATGCAGAAAAGGGGGGGAGGGGAGACGGAGGGGGCGGCAGGGGTGAAATCGAGATACGTCCCAAGCGCAGAGGCTCAATGGCGCGTCATTTCTCTTCCCCGGGGCCCTTGCACACGTTCCTTTTACTGTGGCTCACAGAGCTTCACAGGGCATGGAATGAAGTGGTTTTTAATGTACGGTTCTTTTATCTTCTTTCTTTATTTGCCTAGATTTTGTTTGCAACAGATGACTTTTTTGCTCCTGCAGAAAACCTGATAAAGGTACGATGCACGGGAGCGCGGTGCTGACGGGCAGTGGGCTGCGGGCCCAGGAGAACGCACACCCTCCCGGGCAGGGGGCGGGGTCACGGGCTGCCCGCCGGGAGCTGGCGTGAGGACAGCCCACGCGTGTAGAAGTCAGCGCAGACTCGGGATGCGACCGGAGCTTGGGGGCCGCGGGGCGTGAGGGGAAGTTACTGAGTTGCTTGCCCACTGCCCCTCGCGCGTGGAGGTCGGCATCCGTGCTGGGGATAAAAGTGGAACGCAGCTTGCTTTTTGGGAAAACGTTTACCTGCTCAACAAGCAGAGGGCAGGACGTGTTTCTTTAAAACAAAGCACGGATGCTAGTCACTGACCCGCCGGACCTCTTGGCTTAGAGTGACAGCCCGCGGCTTGAAGAGCACAAATACACTGAGTTTGGCAGGTGGACGGACGGATGGGAGACCAGGCGCAAGAGGACGCCAGGTGAGCGGACTCTCCCAGGGAGGGGAAGGCCGCATGGGGACCACGCGTTGTCTTCCGCCAGCACCCAGAGGTTACGCACGGCTGTGGGGGCGCCGGGCACACGCTGGGTCTGAGTTTTGTTGTGTGTTTGTTTGTTTGCTTTTGTTAATCCGCACCTGAGGCTGATCTTCCATTGATTTTCAGAGAGAGTGGAAGGGAGGGGGAGAGACAGAGAGACAGCGATGTGAGAGACACGTGGATGGATTGCCTCCTACACAAGCCCTGACCAGGGCCGGGACTGAGCCTGCAACCGAGGTACATGCCCTTGATTGGACTCGAATCCGGGACTCTTCAGAGAGCCAACGCTCTATCCACTGAGCCACACCAGCTAGGGCTGTTTTATTGATTTTAGAGACAGGAATGGAGAGAGGGAGAGAGAGAGAGAATCATGGATCGGCTGCCTCCTGCACACCCCCTACCTGGGATCGAGCCCACAACCCGGGCCTGCGCCCTGACCGGGAATCGAACCCTGTTCAACCATGAGCCACACCGGCTGGGCCAGTCATTGGTGTTTTAGTTTCCTTCTGTCACCTGCCTCCCCTGCCGACTTGGACGTGACGGCTGCTCTGTCCTGTGCGCCCCGCAGGTCACGACTGGTGCATCGTCAAGCTGGGGGTCCAGGGCCTGATCCGGGGCCTGGACGTGGACATTTCCTACTTCACGGGAGGCTACCCCCCTCGGATTTCAATCCAAGCAGCAAACCTGGAAGAAGGTGCTGTGGGGACCTCTGACCCGGCCGGCTCCGTGGGGTCGGGAGGCTCAGCCGTCCCCCTGACCATGTGTTTCCAACCAGACGGGCTCAGCAGCCGGACAAGGCCACTGGGCGGCCACGGCCTTCGAGCTCTCTGATTTCCGACTGTGAACTGAGCAGTGTCCTTGGACCCGGCCTTACCCCCACACTCTCCAGCGGGCTTTCCGGGCGCCCTCCTGCGGGGGGCGGGGGGGGGCAGGGGGGGATGGATTAGGCTGGGCCCCGGAGGCACGGGCTCCTCAGGTAGACCCGCCTTTCCGGCCCTGCCCCGGCAGCATCTGATGTGGGTCCCGGAAGTAACTTTGGGAAATAAGTGCCATCATGCGTGTTACAGACACGTATGTAGGAACATAAGTCATGTCCGCTGGCGAGTTGATGCTAAAAGATGGTGGCGTCGGAGGCTCCGCTCGGAAAGGCAGGGGGAGGGGCTGGACGGTTAGTGATGACGGGAGGGGTCCCCCTGGGAGCAGGAAGTGCCTAAGGCCAGACGCGCGCTCTGGGCCGCAGGCGTCTCTGCTTCTGTTTCTCACGCCCTGGCCGGTTGGTCCGGTGGTCAGTCGGCGAGGACGCCCTGGAGGCAGCTCCGGGAACGGCCCCTGCGGGGGGCGGGGGGTGCCCCTGTGAAAGCTCTGGTCCTGGCAGATTCGCTGAGTGTGGCTTCACCTGGACACAGTACCAGCTTTTGAAATGGCTGCTGGTGTCGCACAGAGAGCGGCGTCCACCGGGCGACACTCCGACTCAAGAGATGCCATTTGTGTTATTTGGCAAAATGACAGTTTTCATACCCCCTCTATGAGCACAGGGTTATTTATTTACTTAAACATATATTTTTATTGATTTTAGAGAGAGGAAGGGAGAGGGACAGAGAGAAGCGTCAGTGATGAGAGGGAATCACGGATCGGCCGCCTCCTGCACGCCCCGCACTGGGGGCCGAGCCCACAAACCAGGCCCGTGTCCCGACCGGGGATCGAACCGTGACCTCCTGGTTCCTAGGCTGACGGTCACCCCTGAGCCCCGCCGGCCGGGTGAGCGCAGATTCTTTTTGATTTTGAACGTGAGCCCTGAACCCTAACGGTCGCTCTCCCTTCAGATAAAGAGCCAGCGATGCCCCCGAGAGGAGTCAGGATGGGAGTGGCTGCCACCGCCGAGGAGCTGGACGCCGTCGCTAAGGCACGTGGCCGGACCGGGGGTCTTGTCCGAGGCCGAGGACCGCAGGGAAGGGCCGCAGGCCTCGCTGCCCGGGGGGGACGCGCACCTGGCAGGCCGCACCTCAGGCACCTGCCCGACGGTTCCTGCGTGGCTTGTGCAGCGGCGCCCGGGGAAGGCCGTGGCCGTGGGCGTGAGGGCCGCGCTCCTCACAGGTGCCGCGGACCCACCCCCTGCCCGTGCTGCCCTCGAGCCAAACGCAGAAACTGACGCATAAAGTACTTTTACGGGAATTTGACACGGGAACTTGCTGCCTGATGACTTTAACAAAACGAATAGTTTGGGACTTTGTTTTGGTACATTCTTGGTTTTTTAAATTTTTTTAATTGATTTCAGAGAGGAAGGGAGAGGGAGAGAGATAGAAACATCAATGATAAGAGGGAATCATGGATTCGCTGCCTCCTGCACGCCCCCCACTGGGGATGAGCCTGCACCGGGCCTGAGCCCCGACCGGAACCGGGACCTCTTTTTGTTCATCCTCACCCGAGGTATTTTCCCATTGATTTTTAGAGAGAATGGAGGGAGGGGGGAGACAGAGAGAGAGAAACATGGATGTGAGAGACTCATCCATTGGTTGTCTCCCACACTTGCCCCGACCAGGACAGGGGATCGAGCCTGCAACCGAGGTACCCATCCTTGACCGGAATCGAACCCGGGACCCTTCAGTCTGCTGGCCGACGCTCTATCCACTGAGCTACACCAGCCAGGGCAAACCCGTGACCTCTTGGTTCATAGGTCAATGCTCAACCACGGAGCCACGCTGGCCGGGCAGGGCCCAGGATTGTACTCGAACGTCCGCATCCCCATTCCGGCGGCTCCTTCCTGAGAATCATCTAGGCCAGTGGTTCTCAACCTTGGCCGCACATTAGAAGCACCTGGGAATCTTTTAAAATCCTGATTTCTGGGCCTCATCCCCCGGAATTTCTGTTTCTTTGTTACTAATGTTGTGGCCCCACCCCATGACAAAGAAACAGAATTTCCGGGGGATGAGGCCCAGAAATCAGGATTTTAAAAAGATTCCCAGGGGACTCTAATGTGCAGCCCAGGTTGAGAACCACTGGTCTAGGGAAGGCATCAGGCCTCAGACCTGGGCCTTCATCCCAACCCTGCCTGCCCAGCCCGCTGCCGCCCCGGGGCTTTGTCCGGGTGTTTATTACCCTGGGCCCGGACCTTCGTTACTATTTTTATTAAAGAGCTCAGGAGCCTCCATCATTAGAGACCCCCCCCTCTACCCGCCCCACCACCCAGCCCCGGGAGGGGCCCGCGCTCCCTGCGCCACGGCTAACGCTGCCCGTCTCCCCGCAGCTGCAGTCCAGAGACTGGGACTACTTGGTTCCCAGGACAGAGCTGAGACCCGGGAAGCCTGCTTCTGGCCACAACTACTTCCTGGTTAATTCCCAGCAGAAATGGACCCACGTCAGACTCAACATTTTCCCAGGTGAACGGGGCGGCCATCTCCACGGCCGTGCTTCCGCGTCTTAACGTCGCCAGGTTCAAAACATCAATGCAGTCCCCCTTTCTTTAAAAGAATATTCTTACTGATTTTAGGCAGCGCCTCCCTCCCTCCCTCCTCCCCAGCGGCGCTCCCCCTCCTCTCCTCTCTCTCTCTCTCTCTCTCTCTCTCTCTCTCTCTCTCTCTCTCCCGTCCTCGGCTGCATTCGAACCTCAGGCCCTTCAATCCCCGGACCGAAGCTCTATCCACGGAGCCAAACCAGCCTGCACTCTTCTCCTCTCTTGTTTTAGGGCCTAAAGCAGAGGCTTCCAATCACCTTTTCTTCCTGCTACATTCATCTGGGGCCACTTGTTGAGGTTCTTGAGGCCAAAGCACTCACATTGGCCTCTTGTTGATCCCTGAGAGACAAGGAATTCCACAGGGCCCTGTAGTTCCATTGTGACACCCCTGCATGAGAGAGAGAAAAAGAATGTCATTTTTTCCCATGTCTCTAATATTCAGAACTATTCCCCCGAGAAAACTGGGGAGAAGAGACAGGGAATAGGTGATGTGTGCCTAGCTGCTGAGAAGCCTTCTCAGGCTCTGGAAGAATAATAGCAGGGGAACTCCCTGTGGGCTAAAGGGCGTCTCTGGTCGGCCTCGGTCCTGAAGGAAGTCTGGGCTCAATAGTCCTTTTCCAGAGAGCGGGTTGCCTCACTTAGTGAAGAGGTTGCACCGTGTGTGTGTTTTCCAGCCCCTTCCTCTGACCTCATCCTCTCAGGTTTCTTCTCCGCAAAGCCAACTGGACAGTCGTATCTCAGACTCAGGCTCAAAAACCAGGTTCCTCTAGTTGCTTTAACATAACCCTCCATTGAAAATGAAAACAATTCAGGAAGGAAGACTTGCAACATAAATGGCACCTGTGAATGCTCTGGAAATTAGTCCGTTAGACACATCATTCTTTCTGAGGTTGTTTTCTCTTCCTTCTAAAGAACTCAGAAACTCAACGGCAACTTGAAACAGAACCCAATTTAGTCCTGTCATTGGACCAAGAGGGTCTTCTCCCTGGGCCTCTGTCAGGTTTTAAATGGATGTGGTTTTATCCCCTTCGCATCTAATGCTGGGACATATCCAGCTACAGCAAGATCTCACTTTTAAATGAGGTTCTTGTATTTCTTTTCTTTTTTTTTTAAATATATTTTTATTGATTTTTTACAGAGAGGAGGGGAGAGGGATAGAGAGTCAGAAACATCGATGAGAGAGAAACATCGATCAGCTGCCTCCTGCACGCCCCCCACTGGGGATGTGCCCGCAACCACGGTACACGCCCTCGACCGGAATCGAACCTGGGACCCCTGAGTCCGCAGGCCGACGCTCTGTGCACTGAGCCACACCAGCCAGGGCGGTTCTTGTATTTCAAGAGACCTTTTACAGGGGAAAAATCATAGCTCCCCTCTAGACAGAGCTCATGGCTGGAAAGTGAGTCTGTTTCTCTCCAAAGATTCAGCGAATTTCTACAAAGTGTGGGCCCAGCTCTTGGTGGCTAGAGGAGGAGGCGGGGTTCTGAAGGGGCCATGGCTTGCTCAGAGCCACGGAGCTGGGTTGGGGTGTCACCCGTGCACTTTCTTTCTTCTCATCGCTACTGGGTGCTTTCCCGCAAAGTGAGACCCAGACTCTGGTTGGAACAAGAATTCCTGCCCTGTGCTCCTCTGAGATACAGCACCCAAGACAATTACAACGTTCAGCTGTTAAAAAGAAACATCAGCGATGAGAGAGATGGCTGACCGGCTGCCTCCCGCACGCCCCACACTGGGGACCCAGCCTGTGCCCTGACCGGGAATCGAGCCGTGGCCGGCTGGTTCCTCGGTGGACGCTCACCCCCTGAGCCGGGCCAGCCGGGCGTCACCTTTCCTTTCTTGGTCGCTGGGACCTCAGCACGTTAGGGTTAGCGTTTGCCCTTCGTGTTCTCTGGGAAATTCTCCTGTTAGGCCTCATCCACAGGGACTGGTCAGACGTGATCAGGTCCGTCGGATGTGAGGGAACGCAGCTGTGAGGCCGGGCCTCTAGGACCGATGGCACAGGCGTGCGCGCTGAGGAGGGTGTACAAAACCCTATTTATTTCACCGCGTAACAGCCGTACTGTCAGTCACACACCGAGCAATTCGCCCATCAAACCGGGCACCCAGCGCTCGTCGCGTGCGGTGTGAACGTATGGTGCACGTGTCGCCCGCACCAGAGGCAGCGGCAGCACATCTTTGTCGTCTCAGAGAGAAACCCCATGCTCGTCCCTGCCCCCCTCCCGCCCCAGCCCCAGCAGCCAGGCACGGCGCTCTGTCTGGAGGGATCTGAGGATTCTACGCTTCGTAGGAGGCTCTGGAGTCACCGGGTGGGGTGGGTTGGGGGGCAGCGACACCTCACCTGGGAGGCAGGTGGGGGCCCGTGAGGGAAGGAGACGGCGCTGGAGCGTGAGGGGCCCCTCTGACGCCGTGACAGGCCAGGGGAGACCGCAGGGCACCGAGGCCTTGGAGAGGGGGCGGGGGCTCTGGCCAAGGGCAGCCGGGGGGTGTGAGGGCTTTTGTGGTCTCTGAGCCTCGAACGGCTGCTTTTCCAACGACGAGCTGACGGGCGCCCCTTCCCTTGCAGACGGTGGGGTCGCGCGCCTCCGGGTGTACGGCGTCGGACACAAGGACTGGGCGTCCGCCGACCCCAAAGAGCCGGTGGACCTGGTGGCCATGGCCAGCGGGGGCGCCTGCGTGGGTTTCAGTAACGCCCATTTTGGGCACCCCAACAAGATGATAGGTGAGAAGACGCCCAGGGCTGGCATTTATCCGGGTGTCCGGGCACCAGGGGAGACCCCCAGTGTGGTGTGAAGGGCCGCCTGCCGTGGATGAGGCCCAGCGTCCGTGTGTGGGGCCTGGTGCCCTTACGACGGGAGGTCAGCTGGCTCCGGCTTAAGCAGCTGGTCTGAAAGGAAACGTGCAACTCCTCACCCCGGGGTGCTCATGACTTGGCTGAAACACGAGCTGAAGGGGAGATGGCGGCAGCAAGGCCAGGGCCGGCTCCCTCCCCCGTGGGTGGTCCTCGCGGTTCAGATCAGGCCCACGCCCCTCACTGCGCTCTTTCCCGCAGGCGTCGGGCAGCCCGAGTCCGCGGCCGATGGCTGGGTGACGGCGAGGAGGCCCGACCGGCCGCCCGTGCTGCAGGTGAGGCGCCCGGCTGCTCGCAGCTTCACAGCAAGGAAACCGCCTCGGCCGTGGACCGAAGGGTCTCGGGTTCGATTCCGCTCAAGGGGCGCATGCGGGAGGCCACCCGTCGCTGTGTGTCTCACTGTCTCTCTCTCCCCCCTCCCTTACACTCCCTCTAAAAATCAACGGAAAACATGTCCTTAGGGGAGGATTAGCCAAAACGAAAAAGGGAAGAGGAGCATGCTGGGAGTTTATAGCCATTACCGGCTCCCAGTGATCTCGTGCCGCGCGAGGCATTTAATAGCCAGGAGGCAGCAGACGCAGAGGCAGCTGACACCCCGGGCCCTAGAGCCCGTGTTCACGGTGGGAAGTGAAGGCGGTAACATGGGTTCCCGCCCACACGGCTCCCGCCGACACGGTTCCCGCCGGCTTTGGGGGGGTTCTGCCTGGCACCCGCGGGCTCACGCGTGTCCCCTTGAATTCCAGAGCGACGAGACCGGCGCCCTCCTTGTCCTCGGCGGCGAGTGGGCTGTTTTCCGCCTCTCACACCCTGGAGTGGTGACCCAAGTGGAAATCGACACGACGCATTTTGAAGGTAAATATAAAGTCACGAGGAAATGCATTTAATCGGCCTGACCCAGGGCCCTAGCCAGTGTGGCTCAGTGGATAGAGCGTTGGCCTGCGACTGAAGGGTCCCGAGTTCGATTCCGGTCAAGGGCTCAATCCCCTGTGTGGGGCGTGCAAGAGGCAGCCGATGAGTGATGCTCTCTCATCGTTGATGGCTCCATCTCTCTCCCTCTCCCTTCCTCCCTGACAGAAAATATCCCATATCATAAAGGGCTAATATGCAAATTGACCGAACGACGGAACGTCCAGCCGCTGTGACATGCGCTGATCACCAGGGGGCAGACGCTCAACACAGGAGCTGCCCCCTGGTGGTCAGTGCATTCCCACAGGGGGAGCTCCGCTCAGCCAGAAGCCGGGCTGACGGTTGGCAAGTGCAGTGGCGGTGGCCAGAGCCCCTCCCACCCTGCAGCAGCGCTAAGGATGTCTGACTGTGGCTGAGGCCCGCTCCTCGCGGGGAACAGGCCTAAGCCATCAGTCGGACATCCCCCGAGGGCTCCCGGACTGCTAAAGGGTGCAGGCCAGGCTGAGGGAGGACCCCCGCCCCCCAGTGCACAAATGTTGTGCACCGGCCTCTAGAACATACATATATATTTAAAAAAGGCCATGTGAGCAGGTGGAGGGGGCGGGGGCCCAGGACCGTGGGCCTGGCTTCCACTTTCCTGCTGTGTAACCTCGAGTGAGTTGCTGTGATGGTTTGTGTTCTAGTTTCCGTTTATAAAATGTCAGGATTGAATGATGACCCCAAACCTCACAGGAGACTCTTCGATGCTGTGAGCTTTTGACATGGGCCCGGGTCCCACTCAGAAAGGGCCTGTGAGGTGCTCCGTGGTTTGGCCCCTGGATGGAGGCCCGGGATGGAGGCTCAGGATGGAGGCCCTGGGATGGAGGCCCCAGGATGGAGGCCCTGGGATGGAGGCTCAGGATGGAGGCCCTGGGATGGAGGCTCAGGATGGAGGCCCCAGGATGGAGGCCCTGGGATGGAGGCCCTGGGATGGAGGCCCCGGGATGGAGGCTCAGGATGGAGGCCCCAGGATGGAGGCCCTGGGATGGAGGCTCGGGATGGAGGCCCAGGGATGGAGGCTCAGGATGGAGGCCCCAGGATGGAGGCCCTGGGATGGAGGCCCTGGGATGGAGGCCCCGGGATGGAGGCTCAGGATGGAGGCCCCAGGATGGAGGCCCTGGGATGGAGGCTCGGGATGGAGGCCCTGGGATGGAGGCTCAGGATGGAGGCCCCAGGATGGAGGCCCTGGGATGGAGGCCCGGGATGGAGGCCCAGGATGGAGGCTCAGGATGGAGGCTCAGGATGGAGGCCCTGGGATGGAGGCTCAGGATGGAGGCTCAGGATGGAGGCTCAGGATGGAGGCCCTGGGATGGAGGCTCAGGATGGAGGCTCGGGATGGAGGCCCCAGGATGGAGGCCCTGGGATGGAGGCTCGGGATGGAGGCCCTGGGATGGAGGCTCGGGATGGAGGCCCAGGATGGAGGTGCCCTCTGATAGGGAGGCATCCTGGCAGATAAGGGGGGAAGGGGTGGCCATTTCTTCTCGAGGCTGACTGTTAGGACAAAGGAGCTACAGATTTTAAAATTTGTCCACTTCCATAGTAAAAAAAATATTTGGACCAGCACCCCTGATGTTCTATGTATTCGCGTGTCATTATTTAAGAAAGTTCAGAAGAGGTAACTCAGCCTGTTATTTGTTGGTAAATATATTTTTTCAATCCTCACCCGAGGACACGTTTTTATTGGTTTTAGAGAGAGAGGGAGAGAGAGAAACAGGTCAGCTGCCTCCCGTATGCACCGACTGGGAATCGAACCCATAGCGGGCATGTGCCCTGACGGGAATCGAACCCGAGACCCCGCGGTGCACAGGACAGCGCCCGGCCAATGGCGCCTCGCCCGCCAGGGCTGTCAGGTGGCAGTTCGATCAGCGCTGTCTCGCCATCGTCTGGTCGTCTGGTCGTCTGGTCGTCTGAGTAAATGGTGGCGGTTCATGTGGCTGCCTGGCCTTAAAGGGCCGGCTCATGTATTAGCAGCACATCACGGCCGGCGCAGCTGAGGGGGCATCGCCGTCCACGGCAGGAAGGAGGCCGGTCAGCCGGGAAGTCCGACGGGACCGCGTTCTGGGGGACGGAGGGGTGTCCTGGGGCCTCTGGACAGAAGCTTTTTAAGAAAATGTGTTTTTATTTAAGAGCAGTTGGCGTACGGTCTCCTGGTTATTTAGCTCAGGGCGGACCGCGCAGATTTGACACTCCCATGGCTTTGCCGCGTGACGGCCCCACCAGTGTCTCGTGTAAACTTATCACAATGTTGTTGGCGATGTCCCCCTCCCCCTCCCCCCTCCCCCCTTCCCCTCCCCCCTTCCCCCTCCCCCCTCCCTCCTCCCTCCTGGTCCCGTCCCTCTGGGCTTTGTCTGAGTCTATTTGTTTTGTGTTTAAATATGTTTTTCAAGTTGGTCTGACGGTTGTGGGTTATTGTTAAGCTGATTAAATATGTTTTTCAAATCGATTTTGGAGACAGAGGAAGGGAGAGGGAGAGATAGAAACATCCGTGATGAGAGAGAATCATCCATCAGCTGCCTCCTGCCCGCCCCCCACTGGGGACCGAGCCCGCAGCCCCGGCACGTGCCCGACGGGAACCGCACCGCGACTCCGGGTGCAGGGCCCATGCTCAGCCCCTGGGCCGCGGCCGGCTGCCCCGTGTCGGTGGAGCGGTGCCGAGTGGGAAAGCCCCTCTCCTGTCCCCACAGGCAGCGCTCCCGCCAGCTGCCGCCTGGACGGCTGCATCCTCACGGCCCAGGAGGAGGAGGACATGGCCCGGCAGCAGTGGGACCTGCCAGGCCACCGGTGGAAGGCGCTGCTCCCGGCCACGAAGGTGAGGCCCCAGGCTGTGGCCGCCTCAGGCCCGGCTCCCGCACCGCGTCCCCAGCCCGTCCGGCCCAGGCCTCCCGCCCCCTTTAGCCGTCACGCAGGAGCCTTTCAAACCGCAGCTGCGCGTTTATGTGATAAGAAGCAGGGCTCCAGCCCTGGCCAGTGCGGCTCAGTGGAGAGGGTCCCAGGGTCAACTCCAGTCAAGGGCACGGACTCCTGCAGGCCCCTCCCTGGCCCAGGCCCTGGTCAGGTGCGTGCAGGAGGCACCCAATTGGTGTTCTCTCTCACGTCGATGTTTCTCTCTGTCTTTCCCTCTCCCTTCCACTCTCCCTGAAAAGAATAGCCATTCTTCATAGCTTTGCGCATCTAACAATCACGTTTTGTAAATCGCGTACAAAGAATCTCCCCCACCCCCCCCTCCCTGTCTGCAGAGCCGTGTTTCTCGCTACATGACCCTTAGGGGGTAACTAGCCGTAACGGGGTGCACCCAGGGCTGCGCTGGGCCGTCTGCCCCTGGGTCTCAGGGCCTGGCCGTCCCCAGCTCTCTCCCAACACAGCCCAGGTGTTCGACAGCCTGACGCCGGAGCTGCAGGACGTGGTCACCCACGCACGGCTCACCATCTGCCCGGACGGGGGTGTCGGCCGCCTGCGGCTCAGGGGCTTCCCCAGCTCCATCTGCCTCCTGCGGCCGCGGGACAAGCCCATGATGAGGTTCTCGGTGAAGGCGGGGTTCCGGTCCAGCCTGTAGCCCCGCGGCTGCCGGCCGCACGCAGGGACCGCGTCGCCGTCTTTGAAGCGCTTTCAGCCCCTGCACCTTCAGAAGCTCCGGGCAGTTAATCTCAGATCGGCAGCGTCCCGGCGGTTGAATAAAGTGGTCACACACAGGCTGTCGGGGTGATGCTGCGGGGACAGTGGGCGGGGGAGGCCTGGCCGGAGGGCGATGGGCCGGTCTGCAAGGACGACGTCCCCGTTGGAAGCCACGGACGCTGATGGTGTCCGCACGCCGTCGATTCTGTGAGGACCCAGCGGCAGGACAGCCCGGCACGGCCGTCGGCATCTGTCACTAAACTGTTACTACAAACGGAACCGGACACCAGGCCTCCTGGATACTTTGTTTCAGATGCTCAGTTTCATTGTTGCTAATTGATGACTCGTGGCGTCTGTAGACACCAGTGGCCGGGTGCCCCCGCGACGTGGCTGGAGCATGGAGCCAGCCCTGCAGAGTGAGGGGCAGATGGCAGACAGTTCCCTAGGAACTGCCCCACTGGGGGGCCTTAGGAGGAGGGGGAGGGGGAGGAGGGGGAGGAAAAGCAGGAGGGGGAGGAGGAGGGGGAGGAGGGGGAGGGGGAGGAGGGGGAGGAAAAGCAGGAGGGGGAGGAGGAGGGGGAGGAGAAGGAGGGGGAGGAGGGGGAGGGGAGGAGGGGGAGGAAAAGCAGGAGGGGGAGGAGGAGGAGGGGGAGGAGGGGGAGGGGGAGGAGGGGAGGAGGGGGAGGGGAGGGGAAAGAAGAGGGGAAGGGAGGGGGGAGGATGAAGATTCTGCAAACAGAAGTCTGGGGCACGGACCTTACTCACCCAAAGCCATGCGTGTGGGAGGTGGGTCAGGCCCAGGCTCACAGGTCACTCAGGGCGGGTGCCTTGACCCTTGACCCGGGGAGCGGTACCCAGATGCGCCAGCACCAGGTGCAGCCCAATCCGAGGCCCTCCGTCCGCTCGGAGCAGCCGGGAGCTGGTGGCCCTGCCCGTCCCAGGCTCGGCTCCGGGTGTCAGGCTGCGGGCGCCACGAGTGATGAAAGTGGGGGTGACACCCAGACAGGCGGCCGGGTCTCAGGGCCGATCCGCGGGTAAATGAGGAGCCGAGGACACGGCCCTCCCCGCCAGGGGCTGCGGCAGGAGGGTCCCGCGGCAGCTGTGTCGTGTCCTGTTCTCTTCCCTCCCATGTGCTCTTCGCAGCTGCCTCTACACGAGGAGCTGTGTTCCTGTCAGTTTCATCCCCACCTTCTGCGTGGGAACCACTCCTCAGCGACGTCCACGTTTTTAAAAATACTTTTTTTTAAAAAAATATATTTTATTGATTTTCTACAGAGAGGAAGGGAGAGAGACAGAAAGTTAGAAACATCGATGAGAGAGAAACATCGATCAGCTGCCTCCTGCACATTTCCCACTGGGGATGTGCCCGCAACCCAGGTACATGCCCTTGACCAGAACCGAACCTGGGACCTTTCAGTCCACAGGCCGACGCTCTATCCACTGAGCCAAACCGGTTTCGGCATTAAAAATACTTTTATCGACATCAGAGAGGAAGGGAGAGGGAGGGAGACACGGCAACATCAGTGAAGAGAGAATCACCGACCGGCTGCCTCCCGCACACGCCCCACTGGGGGTCGAGCCCGAAACCACAGGAGCCCCGGCTGGACCGGAACCGACCTCCTGGTTCACAGGTCGACGCTCGGTCACTGAGCTGCGCCCTTTGACCCCACGATGGGCCGCTGATTCTATTTCGGACGCCTGTCAGATTTCTTTTGTTTCTGGACTAAAAAGGACAATTGTGCAATAAAGAGGGACAGCGAGAAACCCAGGGAAACCCCTTCTGGGTGAACAGAGACCTGGGTGCACTGTTCCCCTTCGGGGGTGTGAGCTGCAGCGTGGAGGCAGGTTCGGGGATGCGTTTCGTTCTCCGACGCACCTGCCGCCCTGTCTGCCTGAGCGAAGGTCACAGCCACACAAGGCACAGCGGGCGTTGCCTGCGGCTCTTGCTATTCCTGAAGCACGTGGAGGATTAATGTTTAAAGCCCGCGTGCAGCTAACCCCCGGGGAGAGCGCGTTTCTCCGTTAAACGGCCTCGGAGGAGCCTGGTCCCGGGAAGGAGGCTGCCGCCTGGGAAAGGTTCTCGGTCACTCGGTGACTTTGGGAAAACGCATCAACAATGAAGACGGGGACGCAGAAGGGCGCGCGTGAGGTGACAATCCATTTTTAGAACCTTGGGTTTTCATCTGGGTTTGCAGCCTGGGGACGGAGCACGCCGTGGCGAGCTCACACGGCTTCGGAAGATTGATCTTCTAAGGCACAAATGGCGGGCACATCCGAGAGGACAAAGACGTGGACACCGTCCTCTGCGTTGAACGGTGACTTCCGCAGGCCTCGGGGTTTAGTCCCAGGTGCTGGAGGGACTTCCCTGTGCCGATTCCTCACACGGACGGGGGTGGTGGTTCCTGTCTGTGAACGAGGGCCTCCCCCCCGCCCCTTAGCTTTCCAGCCGGCCCAGCGGATGATCGAGGGTCTGACCTCGCCCAGACCGGCTGCAAGGACCCGAGCGTGACGACACTGGACACAGACCGAGTGCCGGCGTGCTGGGCCACCCGGGGCTCAGCCGGTCCCTTCCCAACAGGGCGAGTAGAGAGGGAGACGCCCTCTGGACCCCGGACAGGAGGGACCTGCTGTGTTTTTAAAAAATATATATTTTTATTGGTTTCAGAGAGGAAGGAAGAGAGTGGGAGAAACATCAATGATGAGAGAACCATTGATTGGCTGCCTCCTGCACGCCCCACATGGGGTGGAGCCCGAAACCTGGGCCTGTGCCCTAACCAGGAATCCAACCGTGACCTCCTCGTTCATAGGTCGACACTCAACCACTGAGCCACGCCGGCCGGGCTGTCACTTTTTAAGAGGTTGGTTTTGGTGGGTTAATTTCTATAATGTCCAGCGTAACATCTATCATGTTCTAGTTTCTCAGGAAACATCTGTTGAACAACAAGGTACCTATTGTTAACTAGAGGCCCGGTGCATGAATTTGTGCACCTGTGGGGTCCCTCGGCCTGGCCTGCGGGATCGGGCTGAATCCAGCTCTCTGACATCCCCCAAGGGGTCCCGGATTGTGAGAGGGCACAGGCCAGGCTGAGGGACCCCACCGGTGCATGATGGGGGCTGGGGAGGGACGCAGGAGGTTGGCCAGCCGGGGAGGGACCGCGGGAGGGCTCCAGGGTGTGTCTGGCCTGTCTCGCTCAGTCCTGATCGGCCGGACCCCAGCAGCAAGCTAACCTCCTGGTCAGAGCGTCTGCCCCCTGGTGGTCAGTGCACGTCATAGCAAACGGCTGAGCAGCCTTAGCATATCATTAGCATATTACGCTTTGATTGGTTGAACAGATGACCGGATGACCCGACACTTAGCATATTAGGCTTTTATTATATAAGATTTTCTATGTTGATAGTTGAATTGAGAGGGTGCAAGGGGTGACTTGACCACTAGGTGGCACTATTGCTCCACCGAAGGCGTAAGCGGTTTTTGTTTTTTTTCCCGTTTTTTTTTTTTTGTTTTCTCTCCACCTGGTCCGGACAAAAGCCTCCCGGGCTGCCCCAGGTGCAGGCACTTCAGGCCTGGGCTCCCGAGTCACCTGCTTCTCTGGGAAAAGGTTCCCTCCTCCGGGCAGGCTCGGAGCTGATGTGGGTTCCTTCCCGGACCCCGAGCAACCTCAGCATCATCCCGAGTCCGAGAAGCTCCTTGGAGAACCGACGGGCAGGACGCAGCCCCGGCAGGGAGGCCGCTCACAGGCCAGCGCGGGGCCCAGCGGGGCTTGGTGGCTGCAGGCCCCACGGTTTCCTCTGCCGCCGGCTCGATCACTCCCACGTGCAGATAATCATCCCGGGCGGCTGCCGGCGCGGCCACATCTGGAGCCCGTACAGCAAAGGGTGGCGGTGCCCGGCAGGCGGCCCTGAGCCACGTGCTCCCTGCCCAGCAAGGGGCTGCCCCTCGGTCGGAGAAGACGAGGGTGTCTGGCCCCGGAGGGGTGCCGCCAGGGCTCAGGGAAAGGCCGTAGGGAACCGTGTCAGAGGCCTGTCCTGGGCACAGAGTCGGGGCGCGGGGGTCGGTCCTCGGCACCCCGGGGCCTTCTCCGACTCCCCACCTGGGCCTCAGGGCCCCACGTGTGTTTTCCTCGCACGTTCCACCCCTTGCGTGGCCTCGAGGGGACGGAGGGCGGCCAGTCCCGCGTCGTATTCCGAAGACAGCGCACCGGCTCCCTCGGCTGCCCAGCCCCCGGGTATCGCTGCTGGGGTTCCCTGGGAAACAGTCTGGAAAGTATTTTCTTCTAATGAATCTAATATGTCACTCACATCGTTGCTAGCAGCAGTTACTCTTTTTTTTTTAAGATTAAATCTTTTTAAAAATATTTTTTATTGATTTCAGAGAGGAAGGGAGAGGGAGACAGAGAAACATCACCGGTGAGAGAGAATCATGGACCGGCTGCCTCCCGCACGCCCCCCACTGGGGATGGAGCCCGCAACCCGGGCCTGTGCCCTGAGTGGGAATCGAACCCTGACCTCCTGGTTCCTAGGTCGACGCTCAGCCGCTGAGCCACGCCGGCCGGGCAGTTTCAAGTTTTACTTTTTTTTTTTTTTTTAATATATTTTATTGATTTTTTACAGAGAGGAAGGGAGAGAGAGAGTTAGAAACATCGATGAGAGAGAAACATCGATCAGCTGCCTCCTGCACATCTTCCACTGGGGATGTGCCCGCAACCCAGGTACATGCCCTTGACCGGAATCGAACCCGGGACCCTTCAGTCCGCAGGCCGACGCTCCATCCACTGAGCCAAACTGGTTTCGGCTCAAGTTTTACTTTTTAAAATTAACTTTTTTTTTTTTATTGTGGCCTATGCTACCTTTTTAAAAAATTATTTTTCAAAAATAATTTTTGAATAAAAATAATTGCACCGGCCGTGCAGTCCCTTTACCTTTCTTACCGCCACTCCCGTC